GAGCAATGAGGACGCACTGTCGCATCACCGCGGCGAGCTGCCAAACTGAAGAACTTTCCGGCAATAACAGGAAAGTCTCCAGCAACTCCTCCTCCTTGCTAACGGCACCAACTTTGGCAAATGCGGAGAATGATTAGTCGTCAGGGCACAGAACACGGTCAAGATGAGATCGACCACATTGAACGGGGAATTCCAGAATTGCTGGAAAGTTCGGATAATGATACCCAGACGTAAGCAGCAGAGCATGCGCACCCTCCCGAATGCGGACGAATCGAATGCCTACTTCGAGGATCATGGAGGTATTGATGATGAATTCGAGAATATAGAACGCAAGACCGGACATCCATCCGTCAGGCTAAGAACGACTGTCGTGACTGAAAGCGCCGCCATTCCGAGATACAAGAAAATTAGGTCCTTGAGTGGACAAAGCGGTTGGCCCACCTCGCGTGATTTCGCTGCGCGTGAGGGCATAGATGGAACGTGTAGGCCTAGAGAGTAGACCGTTGAGCTGGCTCGATCAGATTTGTCAAGCAAAAGAGGACTGACTCGGGCCCGCGCGATGTAATTCATCCCGTTCGCCGCGTTCAAGGTCCATGGCTGCTGCCAGTGTTCATTCTTCCACAGGTTAGACTGCGGCGGTGATGTTGTTTTCTTGTGTGGCTGCATATTGTCTCCCACCACCATCGTCCTTCGGTGACCTCCCCCCAACCTCTACAAGTTTTTCTCCGAAATACCATTCAATGGGTGGAGGAGATCTCACATGAAGAAGTCGTGGCATCGCTCCTGTTGAAGAATCAGGCTCGGGTGTGGTTGGAGGAGAAGAAGCGGTGTGTTATACTGTGCGATGTCTGACTCACTGGGCAACTGATGTACGTTCTTAGCTCGAGGAGAATAAGAAACTCGACCAGCTGCGCAAGGAGAAAGAAGAGGAACGCCAGATGCAGTAGCTGCAACGTCTACAAGAGAACAAACGGTCGGAAACGAACTGAAAAGTTGGAGTGGATGTATGCAACCCCCGCGACGGGATCAAGTCAGAACGCAAACGAGCTTGAGGACTATCTTCTTGGAAAGAAGCGAGTGGACAGATTCTTACTGCTGATGAGAATGCCAAGGTGCGGACTGCCTTGTCCGTTTGATATTTTTCTGAGTCACTTTCAGCTTGGAGCCTCGCATAAGAACTTCATTGCTGTTCAGAATGCCAACAACGTCCGCGATACCGCTTCAAAGATTCGTGAAGACCCTCTTCTCGCAATCAAGCAGCAGGAACAGGCTTCCTACGAAGCGCTCATGGCCACCCTCTTCGCTTGCGTGAAATGCAAGAGCGCAATGGCATCAAACCGAAGAAAGACAAGAGTGCGAAGAAGCTTGAGAAGGAAGAGCGAAGGAGGTTAAGGCAGAACGTAGACAGCGAAGGGACCGTTCAGCCAGTCCTCGGGGACTACGAGCGACGCCAACGCTCCGTGTCGCGAGACCGTTATCACTCGCGGCGCTCCCCCTGATTACTCTCGTTCCCGCTCTCCGCCGCGCAGACATAGTGACTATCACAGCGCCGCAGCCCCCTCGCCTTATCGACACCGCCGGGAAAGCCCTGTGCGGGACTCGCGGGCTCGGTCTCGCGACCCTCACGTTCGAACTTGGCCGCGTTCTGACGAATCCGAGGAGTCTGCTCTCGCAGCCGAAGCCCTGAGCGAGGTCACAAGCGTGCTCGCAGCCCAAGTCCTCGGCGTCGCGACGATCGCCGACAGCCTGAACCAAAGCGTCCACGCATGAGCCCACCACCGTCTCAGCCTTCGGATGGGGGCACTATGGCCGAGAGGCTGCCGCTGCACGAGCTGCACGGCTTGCTGCTATGTCGTCTGACGCAAACACCATGAGTGCCGAACGTCAACAACGGCTTGCCATGCTCTTGGAGAAGAAAAGGCTGATCTAGCTCGTGACGAAGAAGACCGCCGCAAGTCGCAGGGTATGGGCAACTTCCTTAGCAAAGAGCAGAAGAAAGTTTTCGGCGGCTCCATCGGATTGGAAGACCGCATTCGGAGGGGCCGGGGTGGTATGGTTGTCGATGCAGATTAGTATTGTACGTTGTGGTGTAATATGTTCAACCGATTCTTTCAAGACGGACTTTCGCAGAAGGATACACCAACTCGGAACCCTCCCAGAAAATGACATCCACAGTGCACCATTGGCCATGGTGGATCCAAGCTAACCAATAGGGCTCGCAGCCTGCATCAGCATTATCGTTCAGATATGGTCGACCGAGGGCCAATCTTTCAAGTAGATTAGTGGCGCGGCGAACGTGCAAGAATGTCTTCCTCACCTAAACTCATCGGGTCTTCCGGCAGACCACAAAGCTACAGGTCTACTTTTCTCCGGGCTTCGCGCGCTGCAGAATTTCGAGGACATCTTTGCCACGCACAATCAAGCTCTCGAGATACAGCACTCCATCCTTCAGGAGTACGATTGCAACACTGCCGTCTCCGACCCAGATTCCAGTGTACGCCGCGGTCACCTCGGTCAGCAAGAGAGCGTCGAATGCCGGTTGGAAGAGCTCCATGGTCGTCCGGGCCAGGGAAGTCGTATCAGCATACTCCCCGGTGACGAGGACGACGACACCGTAGGACCATTGAGGAACGACCACAAACTGAGAGTGGTAACCCGGGAGATTCCCGCCTGTACTCACACAGTCAGCGAGGAATGATTTGGAGGCCCGGATCTGGTTTACCTTTTGCATAAGCACGCTCCTCTGTGCCTGGTAATTTGGCGATCTCCCAGGGCGCTCCTACTTCCTGGAAACCATCGCTCCAAGCATGCAGTGGTCGCAGCCATTCTCTCATAACGTATGGACTGAGAATTCCTTCGCCATTCGGAGAGAGGAAGGATCGCAGTACGATTCCAAGATCCGCCAAGGAGCTGAATTGCCCACCGGAGGGTTCGTATGCAGGTGAATAAGTCATATCCTGTGCCAGACATCATCCACCATGCAAGAAGGACCGGGACTGACGCTTACCGCCCATTCGAAGTCAGAAGACGGTATCGCTACACGGGTAGCGATGCTCGCGTTTGCGATCCGATAAAAGCTGCTCGTCAAGCCCAGTGGTTGGAAAATGTGCTCGTCGAGCAGCTCGTGATGGGTAACATTCACGCGCCCTGTTACCATCTCAAAAGCAGCGACGTTGCAGAGCCCAAGAAGATCGAAGCCGGTGTTGGAGTAGACAGGGAACGTATATTGAGGCGCGACCAGAGGATAATGCATGGCAGCCTCCAAGAGTGCTTCAGCTGTTCCCGTCCGTCCGGCTTTTCCATCGTCCCGCTCAACCTCATCCAGCGGAAGAGGCCATAAATCTCCGAAGTTCTCAGGAGGATAATCTCTGCCCAATCCTGCAACCGTTTGAGCGAGACGCGATGCGAGTGTGCCAGTCAAACGAGGAACCTGACATGTGGGTCGCGAGCTGCCTCAGTGTGATTGGAGATTTGTCCGCGGAGTATTCGCCCTGCAGATAAGAGGACCAGCCCTCCTTAGGATGGGTGAAATTCGGGAGAAATTTGGCGACTGGATCATCCCTATACGTGAAACTCGTCAGGGAGACTGTAATTTGGAACGCGGCAGGAAGCAAAAACCAATTCAACATCCCCATATCACGGAGGATGAGGGTCTCGAACACAGTGAACATCTTGGAGATACTTGCGATTCGGTAGGCAGAATCTCTTGTGACAGTCTCCGTGCTAGTCGTATCGTTTGCCTTCAGCAGTCCATACCCTCGCTCGAACAATGGTCCGGCTGGGGTAACAACCGAAACAGAGAGACTGTCGATATCGGAAGCAGCGGCACGAGTAGTGAGAAACGAATCTAGTGAGGCGATTGCGGTCTTAAACCGAGGCGAATCTGGTGTCGGAGGACGGCCGGCAAGAAGAGTCGGTAGCGGTGGTTGGCATTTCTTGTACTATTGCGAATGTGAATGTGGTTTGGGATGGTCAGAAACAGGACTCACTTGAGTGGGCGTGACGCTCGTTGTGTGCTTAGATACGATGCTAATGACCACGCGTCGATCGAGAGCATACAGTGTCGCGCAAACGATGGCAAAGATGGACGCGGTCAGCCGCTTCAGAGACCACTTGCGTGGTCTTTCCCTGGGGTTCAGCTCAAGCTTTCCATCCATAGCGGATCCTCCTCAAGTTGTGTCTGGGAGTCGGCAATAGCGCAGTTGATTGCGAGGGTGGGCTCGTTACACGCCGCGGCCATCATGCTTCGGACCGCAATGCCGATCAACGAGACTCATACTCCGATGACGACGAAGACCTTGACCTTCAATCGTGAGTAGTAGTACCTCAGCGTGTTTCTTCAAGGCTGACGCGTCCTAGAAACCATTCTGTCCATAACTGAATTCAGTATGCCTCTCGATCTTTCTTGGAACGCGTATTTCATCCATTTTCGCAGTTGAAGTCGCCATACACACCATCCTGTACGTACGGCAGATCTATCCAGCGGACTTGTTCGTCCGTCGCAAGAAATACGACACTCCTGTCTATCAGTCCAGACACCCCGCTCTCAACGAATACATCTCCGGTGCTGTCAAGTCGATTCGCGACCAACTCTTGGCGGGGAATGTCGAGAAAGTGGTCGTTGTAATCAAGGATAAAGAGGAGGTGGCGCTGGAGCGGTTCATGTTCTCTGTGGAACAGATGGTGGAGATTGAGTCTTTCAACAAAGACACCAGGTGCGCAAAGGCTTTGTCCCGAGACATTCCTGTGAGAGTCTGAAGGCGTCAGCTAGTGTCGAGAATGGAATCGCTGCCGCGGAACTAGGGCAGTACTTCCGTGGCTTTCTCGTCAAACTCAATCTAGTCGAGTCCCAACTCGGTCCTCTGAACGGTGGCGGTGAGAGCGATCGTTCGATGTCCCAGCGCGTCGCGTCCTGACCGGCACGGCTCAAGATGATGTATCGTTTGCGATTGTGCTTGAACTCAAGCCTGAAACTGCGCCTGTCAAGCCGAAAGGCAAGAGCAAGGTACTCGACTTGGTTCCACGATCAAAGTAATGTCAGTTCACTCACCGCACAAGAACCCACCGCCATGGATTCCTGCCTTCACTCAGCATACTACACCCGGTACCTCGGATGATTCTGAGCTTCACATGCGGGTCATCCCTCCTTCGTCTGTGTTTATGTGCTGATGGAACCCAGGCTACGCGCGCTCAACACTGGTATAATCAACGTATGTTTTTGCATCAACTTGTCCAGATGTGAATGATACCATTGTCGACAGCTTTCTCTTGCAGTACAAGAATCGGACGTCAAGCTTCAGAAGGAGAGAGATGCTCTGAAGAAGCGCCAACTGGCTGAACAAGCACCGCAACCTCCGACCGTCGAGCGAACACCCAAATCCACTAAAACCACCCAAAGTGAGATGTCAGACCCGGAAGGTTGAAGCTGGGGGATAGCGATGACTTCACGCCATCCAAGTTCCGATATGTGGAATATAATAGATGTATCAAGGATGTACACGAATGCGTTGAATGAGTGGAATGATTCTTTCCCATTCTTCCATGGCCTACAAGCAGAGTCAGGATAAGTGGGATCGCAGGATGGAAAATGAACTGACTGATTTGTAGAATTCGATCTGCCCATCTGCCAGTCCTCCTAGCATCTCTTTCATTTCGGCCTCCTTCGCGTACTGGAACACATTCTGCTCGCGCAATGTCTCGTCACTGAACGCGTCGGAAGTCTCGTGTGCTGTGGTCACGGCATCTTGAAGCTGGGCAATTGTAAGTATCGAAGTAGTTCATTCAGGCAGGAACAAACCGACCTCTTTGATCTTGATGTCCAATTTCCGCATCTTCTCAACTCTGCTTCGGTCATCGTCTGCGCCTCGAAGAGCCTCTACCCTATCCTTAATATACGACCCTAACCCCAGTCCAGTGCTTCCAGCGTGGCCACTGATCACTGCTGAGAGTCGGTCTCTGTCAGCCGTGACACCGGCCAAGTAGTCAGATAGTTCCTCGAAATCAAGCTGCTTCTGGTCACGAAGCCGCATGACAGCACGGTTTGCGTGAGAGTACGCAAGAAGTGAATGGAGATGGATCAGGAACGGGTCTAGCGATGTTTGCGACTGACAGAGATATAAGTTCGAGGCTGTCAAATCTCACCGACAGAGACTGACCGTGTGTCGTAAAAGAGCCGAGAACTCCAACAGCGTATTCGAGAAGTTGTTGAGCGGGTCAGTGATACCCGATTCTAGGAATCCGAGACCTTGAACCGCGACAGCAAGATCGTGATAATCTGCGGTCAGGTCTTCACCAGATTCCAAAGTGCCAGCTCATTCAGTCTCAGATTTGGGCTCGCGAAAAAATGGAACGGAAAGGGTACAATGGATACCAACTCACCGCTTGTTCTGTTTCGCACCCGGTTCCATATCCGCTCTGCTACGACCAGTCCTTCCTCGAATTGGTCTACACCTTCACGCATGCTCAGAAAGCGCTCGTCGGGTTTGCGCATGCGGGAAAACGCATTAAGAAGAGTGTCTGAGATGTTATCGATGATTCCAGGCGTCGGCTCGGCATGTGGAGGATGAGCGGCGTGCTGGTGCATTTGCACATGCTGTCGTCGAAGGGTTAACTTGCAGCAAATTAGTGCAGACAATGGATGACCCACCCATTCCGTTGATTCGAAGAAAGCCCGGACCAAGGTGCTTCGTTGCAGGGTTGGATGAGAGGAGAGTCTCTGCAAGAATCGATGTAGACTATTTGACGGATGAGTCAAGGGGAGAGAAGGGCTGGGGAAATGCCCGCTGACTCGAGACGCCGACGTTCCATGAACTCGGGACTGAATCTGTCCCCTGTGATGTATTCTAATCGCAGAATGAGAACGAGTCATGTCGTGAGCTCGATGAGATACCTAGCCGGTGCTTGTCGGGGAGAGGAGGGACGACGCATGCAGGGAAATCTCGAGCCAGGTTCTCTCTGAGGAACACGAAATCCTGGAACCGTCTGCGCGCAGAGGCGTTTTCGATGAGAATATACGCAAGTTCGTCTGCGTATGTGGGTAACTACAGCAAAGGGAATGGAGCGGGAGCCCACACACCTTTGCCGAGACGAGGTAGGAGACATAGGCGTCCTTCGTTTCCGCAAGCTCCTTCACCGGGTCCGATACGGAGGTGATGAGGTAGCCCTCCCACTTTGGATCATTAGGTTCGCCGCTGTCCGATGTGCTCTGACGAAAGCCAGGACCAGAAGGACCTGGTCCCTCACGAGGCGTTTCGTATGGTGGTGCCGAGGGCGACTCCCAAGTCACACTGTCAAACACATCCTCGTCGTCGCCGAGCATTTCACGTCCTTGAAGTGGTTCGGGGAATGCCTTGTGTCTGCTCGACCGAAATTAGAGACTGCAGATGGACGTTAGAGCTGAAGACAAGCGCCTTGATGTAGACGTCACCGAAGTACCGAAGCGTCAGGGCTGCGCTGATCGGCACCAGGCCGGAACGTGACACTCACTCTCTGCAATGTACTACTACCACTACCTTTTGCCATTCTTTTCCCTATTTCTAGGCGCCTATGCCTACCAAGTAAAAGTCTCGGACACAGACTATTCGCGGCACGTCCTATTTCAATGATAGACACGTTCCCATGCTAACATATCTTTGGGTCTTCCGCAGGCAAACATGCAGCGGAATGTGGGCCAACCAGAACACATTTATCAACGTGACATTCGATGCGTCTTCTCAAGGCCAGCTCGCAATGTGCGTTTTGTGGGAATGGAAGTGCGGCGGAGACTGAATGAAGTGCAGGGTGATCTACGAGTGGTCGGACGTCCAATATCTCGGAAAGATTACATCTTATACGGACGATGAACTACCGGTGCGTTCTGCCTCTCGCTGGTAGAACGAATCAACCACCCGTGGTGGGTCTCACTCACTCCCCTTCCCGGCAGCAGAAGACTTTCGTGTGTACCTCAAACGCAATGGCAGGCGGGTTTTGCACTCAGGCAGAGGTAGATACGCAATCCTCTTTCTTGCAAGTATCTCATTTCATCAGATGGGGCGGTTCATTATCAGCCTACCGACTGGGAAAAACCTCAACTCAACCTCGTTTTGGACGGCGCGCGTCGAGCTTCCTGCAAATCAGACAACAAGCCGTACAACGATCGGCGCTGCTGAAGGAAGCGGCTTCTGGAACAATCCTGCAGGAAACCCGACTCCGCCTTCAAGTAACTATACCACGCCGTGGAAACGCGCCGAGCTGAATCCAAGCCCGACCGGGACCTACATGTACTCGAAGGAGCCGATCCAGTACCAAGTGCGCAAGACCGGCTATTACTGCGTGGGTAAGAACCACCATTATCTGTTCTCGAGTGCTCTTGCGAGCATTAACAGCCTTGGTCCCGGTCACTTTCCCCCGGAACGCGAACCATACAACATATGACGGTCTTGTGTTCTTCCAAAACACATTCCATGGCAAACTTCCCGCCACCGACTATCCCAAGGTCAACGTATGTGCTCTGACTGCCGCTTAATCCGACCGGACGCATTGATTCTACTCAGTTCTACTTTGTCATGTTCTTGGTTTACGCCATCTTCGGTGCTGTTTGGGGCTGGCTGTGTTACCAACATTCCCAGGAACTACTCCCGATCCAATACTACCTTTCTGGCCTGGTCGGACTTGTCGTCATCGAGATGATTGCAAACTGGGGTAAGCCAGGGCTGCCCTTCCGTCGTGCGCTAGGCTCTGATCGATACCAAGCTTACTATCGGTATCTGAATGCACACGGTCGAGGAACAGCTGCCACTGTCTTCCTCATCGTTGGTAAGCAGGAAACTTGTTCAACGTTATCCTTCAGTTGATCAGGTTCATAGTCGCTATCCTCGATGCTGGACGTAATTCGATGTCCTTCTTTATGCTTTTGGTCGTCTCCCTAGGTAAGCCTGTCCTTCAATCAGTTGACCCAAGACTGAATGCGGTGCAGGCCTGAGCGTTGTGAGAGAGTCACTCGGCCGACTGATGCTGCGATGCCAGATTCTCGCTGGTGCTCACTTCATCTTTGGCAGTGCGTGTACAACGCGCCCGTGAAACTGGAGAATGCTAATCGCCTGCTCAAGTCTTGTATGCTGTGGGGATCGTTGAACTCGAACTTGAATCGACGTCGGCACTGATTCTTCTCATGTTTGTCGTCCCCCTCGCATTCACTCTGAGCGGTTTCCTGCTCTGGATCTTGTATGCGTTGAATGGAACAGTCGCTCAACTGCGGGCTCGCAAACAACGGTATAAGCTATCCATGTTCGAGAAGCTGTATCGCATCTTGCTGTTCTCGGTTTTAATCATCGGGGTCTTCTTCGTTGTGTCTACGCTGTCCTTTACGGGCCGTCTTGCAGAAGGTCTGTTCTGGCCTAGGTCATTCAATCTCATCTCAACTGCCACAGATTACTCCGCCAAATCATGGCGATTGAGATGGCTTCTCCTCGACGGTTGGCTAGCGATGCTGTACTTCGTAGCCTTCGCGTTGATCTGCTACCTCTGGAGGCCATCGCCGAACAACAGAAGATATGTATTTTCTCTCATTCCGATGCGACTGTTGATTGACTGGTCTTTGTACGTTGGCGATGTCCGATGAAATCGCGCAGGACGAAGAGGATGCAGAGGACTACGACCTCGAGACCATGGGCGGCCGAGGTCGTGTGCCAGACGACGACGACGACGCAGCGACTTTGGTGGGCTCTCGTCGCGGGGGTGTGACCGAGGACAACGTTGTGTTCGAGATCGGGGACGAGGACGGGGGCAGCGACGACGAAGACGAAGCCAAGAAAAGACGGCGGCGTCTGTCGGGAGAGACAACGCCTCATGCGGAAGAGGAGCGAAGAGGGCTCATGAACCGAGATGACTGAGTGTCGCAATACTTATTGTTTCTTGGACTATAGACCCGCACAAATATACATATCCCTATGAATCTCTCATCCTCCCTGTAGATGTCGTGAACAACCGGGCAGCGATGTTCATGCTCTGCAGTTCTTGGAACAGCAGTTTAGCTGCATATGGGATGTAGAGCTGCGAGCAATTCGTCTTGTTCCTGCACGAACGGCATTCGAAGCTCTGCTTCTTCAAGTTGGCGATGGCTGTCAGACCACATCTAGAGACCAAGTCAGCAACAACAGTTAAATAGACGGAGATGAACTCACATATCGCACACATGCAGCCGGTAGGCGTCACTGGCCTCAAACAACCGCTCTTTCAAGAACCCAGCAATGCCGTGGGAGATCATGCAATCACGTTCCATCTCTCCGAACCGCAGACCACCGTCTCGACTACGACCCTCCACAGGCTGACGGGTGAGGATCTGGACAGGACCACGGGCGCGTGAGTGGATCTTGTCGTCGACCATGTGCTTCAATCGCTGATAATACGTCGGTCCAAAGTACACCTGCGCCTGCAGCTTCCGGCCCGTGTGGCCGTGGTACATGATTTCGAGACCACGTGACTGGTAGCCCTTCTGCCGTAGGAATGTCGAGACGGACTCGACGGTGAGATCGGTGAAAGGCGTCGCATCGCCTTCATTTCCGATGAGCGTGGCGACCTTGGACAGGAGACACTCGACCAAGTGACCGATGGTCATTCGTGATGGAATGGCGTGCGGGTTGATGATGATGTCGGGCACAATGCCCTCTGCGGTGAAAGGCATGTCTTCCTGACGGTAGGTGATACCAATTGTTCCTTTCTGGCCGTGACGAGACGCAAACTTGTCGCCGATCTGCGGAATACGCGTCGCACGGACCCGCACCTTGACGAACTTCTGGCCGTCAGAGTTGGTTGTGACCAACACCTGGTCGACGATACCACTCTCCGTGCTCTTCAAAGGAGTCGAAACGTCTCGTCGCGTATGCGTGCGAGTGCGCTGTCCCAGTTCCTCGCTGTCGGGCGGAAGCGGAGCCGTCTTTCCGATGATGATGTCTTCTCCGCGAACATTGGTTCCTGGAGCAATAAGGCCGTCGTCCTCGATTTTGTCATACGTCCCGTGTTTCATTTTCAGAGTCGTATCGCGTGTCGGCTTCTCGAATTCCTCGAGCTGTTGAATTCCGCTCTTCTTCTCCAGGTCCATGTAGCTGCGGTAGTAGATACTGCGGAACAGCCCTCGATCAATGGAGCTCTGGTTCATGATGACAGAATCTTCCTGGTTGTATCCACTGTAGCATAGAATAGCAACAATGGCGTTCTGTCCAGCAGGCAATTCTCGGAACTTGAGGTACTCCATCGAACGCGTTGTCGCAAGCGGCTTTTGCGGATAGTACAAAATGTTGGCCATCGTGTCCATTCGGATCAGGAAGTTTGTAAGGAAGATGCCCATGGCTTGTTTACCCATGGCGGATTGGTAAGTGTTACGGGGAGACTAATGTCGTGAGAAAGATATGAGCTATGATAAACGAGAAAGCTCACCTGGTTGTGATCGGGGAACGGGATGATGCTCGCACAGATACCTAGGATCATGCTTGGGTGAATCTCACAGTGAGTCCAAGTATGTGTGTTGATGGCAGCCTTCAAACGAGCCGCAGGATCGAATTCGGCTTCCTGAATGGGTTCGATCCCCGCCATTTGATTCCGTGAATTTTCCAGGTCATCTGGTGTCATAGAAATCATGACGGTCTCTTCCTCTTCGGCATCCAGGAGCTCGATTACTCCGGTCTTGATCAGATGCTCCCACTTGTACTCGTCGCCCGCATCGTTCTGCCCCTCGTTGATCCACTTCACGTGCTTCTTCTCCAGGACTAGCCGCTGGTTCTCCACGATGAACAGCGGACGACAGACACGACCGGCATCGGTGTACAAACGAAGCTCCCGCTCTCGCACATCTCGAACGACAGACACCTCCGGACTGATATCATCTTTTCTTCGCAGCTTCTTGATCGTCTTCACCAAATCGGCCGGATTACGGTGGACACCCATCCAGACTCCATTCACGAACACCTTGGTGAACGGTGTCGCAGAATGAGCGTTCTCCTCCAGCGTCTCCAAGCCCCACTCTTCCAAGAATTCGATAACCGGCGCAGAGAAGGATCCGACGGAGATGACCGACATCAGAGCCAAGTTCTTCACCAGTCCACAAGCCTGCCCTTCGGGTGTCTCGGCTGGGCACACCATTCCCCAATGCGTGTTGTGCAGCTGACGCGGCTTCGCGATCTTGCCCTCCCGACCCAAAGGCGTGTTGCATCGACGGAGATGGGACAGAGTGGACGCATATGTGTACCTGTTCAACACTTGAGACACACCCGCAGCGCCTGAGCCAGCCTTCTTCTGGTCTCCCCAGTTTCCCGTCGCAAGCGAGTATTTCAGACCGTTCGTGATCGTCTGGTGTTTCACAGCGATAGCGAGATTGAACTCTTTGTGTGTTTCAACACACTGCACACGATTGAGGGCACTCGCGAACGGATAACACGGATGGACGAACCTTTTGCAAGTACCGGTACACATCTTTTGTGAGCTTTCGGAAGAGGATACGGAACAACCGTGCAAGCAAGGGACCAGCCAAATCCAGACGCTTCTTTCCAAAGTGATCACGATCATCCAATTCACGCCGTTCGAGGGCCGCCAGGAGAAGACGGTGGACCATATACCCGAAGAAATACGCTTTGTTGGACTCGGAACCCTCCGACATGGAGATATGAGGCAGCATCTCCTTTTGCAGGATCTCCTGCGCATAGCGGATACGACGTTCTCTGGAGAGACCAGTCGTTGTCCCACGATTTCCGATGAAGTCCAGCGCAACTTCGCGGTCCTGAATGACGAAACCGTCATCGATACAGGGCTTGAGCATTTCAAGCATCTGCGCATCTTGCATGTCATAGCAGATGTGCTCCAGGATATCCCGGTCAGAGATAACGCCCAGTCCACGGAAAACGATCCAGATAGGTATGTCCACTTTAATGTATGGAATGGTAGCCTTGATGACGTTTCCAAGCTGGAGGAGACGCGCTCAAACAATGTAAAGATGAAGGAGGGAAAACTGACTTACAGACCGCTCTTGATTCCGGTGGAACATCTTCACCTGGAACTGACTGATAGTTTTTCCACCCTTCTCAACAGCACTTCGGATTTCGGCGAGAAAATTGATGGGGGAGGGCTGCGCCTTTGCGAAAACGTAGACATGATTGGTGGCCATACGCTCTTGGGCAATAAGCACCTTCTCAGACCCGTTGATAATGAAGTAGCCCCCGGAGTCGTATGGACATTCGTTCAGGTCATACAAGTCCTGTTCCTGAAGTCCGCGCAAGATGCAAAAAGTAGACCGGAGCATGATGGGGATCTACACCGGTTTGATGCTTGAAGGAAAGATGTAGAACGGCTCCAGCGCACCTTGCCAATCCAGACTTTCGTCGTATCCTCATTATCATCCTGCTCCGTCTCCCAAGACACATCACCAGGCATCCCATCCGGATCCTCACGCCCGATGAGCACGCGTTTCTTCATCTCGATGTAAAGTGGCGACGAATATGTGAGATTCCGTAGCCGCGCTTCCTGGGGAAACACCGGGACAACAGTACCATCGGACTCCGTCACCGTGGGCCGCGACAAGAAAATTTGGCCGAACTTGATCTCGTACCGACGCGTCATGTCCGTCTCATGACCGGTATGCTGGTCCGCTTGGTCAAGGATTAGATCTGCGTTTTCGTCGACAAGCTCCTGCATCGTGTTCTGGACGAATTCGTCGAACGAGTCGAGCTGCTGCCGCACGAGACCTTTTTGGTCGAAGAAACTGGAGATGATGGTCCAACAATCCTCCTGCGTTATCACCTCGTCGTCCTCAGCTGCTTCCCCGTACCCTGCCCCCTCATCATCAGCGGCAAAGTTTGGCTCTTCGTAAGAATATGGGTCCTGGGGATCATATTCTGGTGACGTTCAGAGAACGCTCAAGGACGTCAATTGTCTGGGATACCTTGGCTCATATTTTATTCAAAGCCAACGAAACCAGATGGACGGCAAGGTCAGCCGAGATTCCAAGTTTAGCACACGCTTCTGAGATTCAAGGACAACTGTATTCGGTCGGGACAACGCGTCGAAGGGCGACAAAGGGCGACCCGTATGGATGAACAAGCAAAGCCGTGACTTGATAACATGGCCAAACATCCTCTCTTGACTCTGTCCGATTCGAGTTCGTCATCGGCTGTTCTCTAAAATGGGAGATATCTGGTCCTTCAGTCTGCGTTCTAATTGCGGCAACAACTCTGACTCTGAATCCGGTGACGACGACCAACCACCCACTGACGCTGCATCCGAAGAATCCCGCCTGCTGAAAGAATTCGATATTACTCAACGTGAAGAAACAGTAGACTATAAACCCAATCCATTTAGTATCGCAAAAATCAATGCCGCTGCCCGCTCCCATCGGCGCTCTTCAATCACTGAACCCTCGCATTCTAATGTCCAAGCACCGCAGAAGAAGCAACCGGTGGGCAGGATCGTCGATAGCTTTGCGGAAAGAAAGTCTTCGATCTCAGCTGGAGCTTCTCAAGCAGACGACTCCGTTTGCCCCACTTCTATTCTGGACGATTTTTCTCCTCCTATGAACTCAACTTCTACGCATGTTCCGTCTCAGGTCTCTAACGTGTGCCTCACTGTCGACCGAAATGCTTCATCTCTCGCGGCTGCACCACCTCTTGCTCCGTCTTCCCTCCCAACACGTCCGATTGCTCACAGTTTCCAACCTGTCTCGCCAATGCATATACCCGCTTTCTCTGCGCATCTCGAGCCCACGCCATCGTCATTCACACGTCCTACCAAGTCGTCCATCGCTCCATTTTCCTCTCCATTGAAGACGCCTGCCGTCATTCAAGTTCGGCGACCTGGAGCTGCTAGACAGAGATTCTTCTCGTCGCCACCATCCGCCGCCGCTAGGTCATCTGGTTCGGTCATGCACACCTTGTTTCGAAAGCGCGAGAGGATCCCGCTTCCGAAGAGAAAAAGTCCTCCGATTGCAGGTCTGTCTCTGTTTGGATCTATCCTGCAGCGTTAGTTGAGATAACGAAGGTCCTCGCTATGACTCCAATCCCAGTGCCTTGCTCCTGGGACCATCTGAACAGGAATCTTCTGCTGATCTGCCTGGGCGACACGTCAATCAACATCGTAATCAATTTTTCGCTCAGCATGCTCAAGTTGGACCTGTGCTAACCCCTGCATTTGAAGAAACTTCTAGCTGCCCCTCCGACCATCGTCGGTCTCCCTCAGATCCTGTAAATCCCATCAAGAAAAGGTTCACGCCTGCGTTTGAGAATAGCCCAAAATCACCTCTGTTTCGTGCTCGATCTCCACCTAGTCCTGCGTCAATCCCTCGTGCTTCGCTCTCAAAGCAAAAATCGCGCACGTCTGTCCGTTCTTCAGGTGGCAAGCACAAGCGCGAGCCTGTTGTTCAGGCTTCCAGGACCGACAAGCGCGACGCGTATGACTATTTCCCTGCTGACCCGGACGAGGAATGGACCACCCTTTCCAGTCGTAGAAAAGGCAAGATCGTCGAGCCCACCAGATCCAATACGCAATCCATCCAGACTTCCGCCGCGTTCCGACTGCCGTTACTGGGCAAGGGCAGAAAGACTGGCATGACCGCGAATTCAGAACGACGTGTTGTGACGTTTTTTCCACCGCCCTTACAGTCTGGTCCAGTGGACGTCGTCGTGGAGAAAGTAGGGAGCCATATCGTCGAGACCAACAAACGCGTGCGACGCGACGCTCACAAGGGCAGCCCGCCTATAAGCACTCCGAAACGCCGACGGCTATCTGATAATCCTTATCCCTCACCACCCACTTCTCGACTTGCGCCTGGGGACGCCTCGATGCTCGAGGAGACTGCAGGTTTGCCCACGAGTTCTCCCGGACATGCTATGCTGTCCCCGCCAACTTCCGATCCCATCCAAGAAGCTCCCGGCGATGGCCAAGACGTGCGAAAGCCCATCACTGTCCGAAATGTCTTGCAGCGATACGTCTACATCAGAAATGCGATGCAAGAGGTGCGGATGATTTGGTCGGCTGATTCTTAATGTCTGAACACACTCTCAGTAGCAAAGACAGACTGATCTGTGGCATATGCTTGATCTGCCTAGTTGCGGTGTCGTTTACGGAGACGGGAATCCTTCCACAAAAGAGATCTGCATTGTATGTTGGGACGGGTAGTCGATCGTACTCTGGTATGCCTTGAATCATCATCACAAGCTCGCAGCCAAGAGGATATCCATTTTCTGCTCTGCGCTACGGGCATAATGGCCCTGTGCGATGTTAAGCTTCGGCGAAGGGCCGACGTGGGCTACTTACACCAAACATGACGGTATGGTTGAGGTAATGGAATAGCTGATAGAGATGCGAGCGCAACTCGTACTGTTCAACCGGAGCTGTCTTGGGCCGATAGAGATGGTAAGAGTCGAAGAAGGATCGAGGAACTCCGCCAAAGATACGGGCGATAGCCAGGCTGGATCCGGCAGCTGACTGGGATGCTTTCTGTGAGGATGGAGCACTTACTCTGCTTCATTGTGACCATAATACGATGCAGGATCGAAGACCACTGGTTCACCTTCACTCGTCTGTCCCATGTTTCCGCTCCATAGATCGCCATGAAGAAGAACAGGCTGACACTCGAGAGCGCCTGAGGCAGTATTGAGCTCAGAGCCCGCAAGGAATATTTGGGATCGGATCTCACCCAGCAGCTTGGGAATGACACTAAACGCGATCGTCCAGCGCTTTACACGTTTCGTTTTATTGGAAGTCATGCCCACCTCGTCCTCACTTGTTCACCTTTCTGGCAGATCGCTGCAAAATGGCCTTGCGCACGCAGATAGTCCAACAGTTCGCCGATGAGTGCGGCAAAGCACTGATCCCAAGAATCAAACCACCCATTCGAGAGGCGCGTGGGTCCACAATGCGTCGGTATACCAAATCCAAAGCCGCTGGAGCTCGTGTGCGCGTGCATCTCCAACGCCAGTCGCTCTCCAAGCCTCCTCGCGGCAGAATCACCGATCGAGCGCAGATTCTTGTACTCGGAGATCATCCACGGACGACCGTCGTCCCTCGTGCCTAACGACAAAAGCTGCGGAGCGAGCCCAGGTGCTGCGGAAGCCATGTGTCTCAATGCTTCGGCCTCTCCTTCATACTGCTCGCGTTCGGCGATAGATCCGAGTTTCGCGTAGTACTCCCTCCCTGATGACGAAGTTATATGAGGGAGACTTCCGGTGAAAGCATGCGAGCTGGGCTCGAGCTCGCGCAGTTTCTCTGGGATCGGTCGGGGAATGTGGGACATCGTTGACTCTTTTGGGTGTCGTCGAAGCGACTTTGTCCCATCGGTGACGTCATAGGAAGCTTCCGCTTCAAATCGCGCGTCAGTCAGCAGGACACCTGGCGAGGCAAGTTCAACCTGGTATAAATACAGTGGGACTGAGAAAACCCCAGATCTGCACATATGGGCAGGGCGCGTTCCCACGAGCAGATACGAAGGACCAATATCATGGACCGATCCAACCCCGAGGTAACGTGACCGCGTCTTCGACAACGCAAGTGGCATGAATAATGATGTCATGACTAAGTGCTAACTGGCAAAGTAAGCAATCCTCCTCCAAGCAGAGACTATATATAGAGAAGTCAACCTTGACTAGATACCTCACATCCAACCCCACAACATGCCTGGACCGATCATCAACAAACCTGTACCTGGCGCTCGCGAATTTATCCCTCTGAATGAGCCACCGATCGGGACACCTCTTGTGCGCAGCGATGCTACCTCTTTCCTGTCGGCCACGGCTGATAGGGAGACTTGGATATCCAGGAAGGGTCCGAGGTTGAACTCTTCAAGCCTCTGACTATTCGAGGCGTAACATTCAAGAACCGGATCTGGGTTGTATGTGTCCTACTGTACTAGCCAGTGGAGCAAATGTGCTCATCAGAGTCTCTTCAGTCTCCCATGTGCCAGTACAGGTGATTCAGCCCACCAATTTCATCGAGTCCTTCCCATTGAATGACTTCTCAGTGCCAACCACGAAAACGGGACACCAACAGACTGGCATTTCGTTCACATCGGCGTGAGTCCCGACTACGACGTCGGCTGGATCATCATGTACTGAGACTTCAACAGGGATTCGCCACTAGGGGAGTTGGCGCGATCGTGATGGAAGCGGCCAGCGTTGTCCCAGAAGGCCGGATATCACCGGAGGATCTTGTGCGCCATCCTGATGTCCACCGTCGAACTTCCATTCTGAACCACTTCCATTATTAGGGAATCTGGTCCGATGAATCCATCGCTCCCCTGAAACGGATCGTCGAGTTCGTTCACAACCAAGGAACCAAGATCGGCATCCAACTGGCTCACGCTGGCCGCAAGGCGTCCACATACGCTCCCTGGCTCAAAGAGAAAGCAGGACACGGCGCTTCATGGGTTGCCAAAGCTGACGAGCATGGATGGCCCGACAAAGGTGCCGTGCTTATCTGTATTTGAAAGGCAATCTGTATTCACGATCGTGTGCTCGACAGTTTACGGCCCGGGTGATATTCCTTACTCTAAAACGTATCCTGAACCCAAGACCATGTCGGAAGCGGACCTCAAATATGTCGAGGATGCGTTCGTTACCGCTGCCAGGCGATGCGAGACGATCGGATGTCAGTGAAATCCCTCTGCACCAAGCCCTCCCTCGTCAGAACTGATTGGGCCGGCCCATTAGTTGACTTCATCGAGCTGCACGCTGCCCATGGATACCTGATGCACGAGTTCGTCTCCCCGCTTTCCAACAACCGCACGGATCAATACGGTGGATCGCTGGAGAACCGACTGCGTTACCCAACCCGCATTATCGAAAGCGTCCGCGCAGCGTGGAAAGACAAGCCTCTATTTGTGCGCATCAGTGCCACAGACTGGGCCGAGGGACCCGAAAAGTCTGAGGACGGAACGTGGTTGCAGTGGGGGCTGGAGCAGAGCAACGCCTGGGTCGACAAACTGGTCAGCTCAGGCGCGATCGATCTGCTCGACGTGAGCACGAGCGGCAACTGGGAGAAACAGAAGATCACCCTCGGTCACGGATACCAGGCATGCTACCCCCTTCTCATTCACCCCATCCACTCATCCAGTCTACCGCTCCCTAGGTCCCGTTCGCTGAAGCAATCAAGAAGGCGCACCCCAAGCTCCTTGTCGGCACTGTAGGCCTGATTTCAGACCCCGTTCTTGCCGAAGGGTACCTGAAAGATGGCAAAGCTGATGTCATCTTCCTCGCTCGTGAGCTCATGCGCAACCCACACTGGGCAGCGTACGCCGCCCAGAAGCTGGGCGTGAAAGTGAAAGTCGCAAATCAGTACGAGCGCCTCGGTTTGTGGTAAATGGTTACAAGTAGAATATGAATGAGAGTATAAATGATGCACTGCTGCAGCTATGTACTATATCGGGATAATCAATTTCCAAAAGGAACAAACCAAACAAGAGAGGTCTAGTAGCCGAGGTTTCCTCTCGACATGTCGACGAATAATGTCTTCGATTTGACCATGCGAACAAACCAAGCGCCGAGAATAGTTCCCCCCAAAACAGACAAGTAGGCCTTCCCACCATTCTGTGACAAGCATTAGAGCAGCGGACATCGAGCAGAGAACAAGATCGTACTTTGCCGTTGGTCACAAGGATCATCTCCGGCGAGCCTTTGTATGGCTTCAGCGTCTTGCCATTCAGGTAAGCAACAATGTTGGCGGAGATGATAGCAGCGTGTGCGGTGGCCTTGACGACCTGCTTTTGCTCGGCGATGTTGATGGCGTCCCCAAGGGCGAAGATATCCGCGTGGTTGTTCAGCTGCAAAGTCGGCTTGACCTTGATCTGGCCACGCTCATCGACACTGTCCGATCCAAGCGACTTGGAAACGAACTCCGTGCGGGGCCGGGGACCGCGAGTGCTAATCTGCACGTGGGATCGTCAGCGAGGTGGTTCGAGGCCAATCAGAGGCAACGGACCACTAGGTCGGCCTGGATCGTTTTTCCATTCCGAGTTCGGATATTACCGGAGCCCGGTGCAGGAATATCATCAACGTAGTCGTTGAGAACGAGCTTGACGCCTCTGGCTACCACATCTTTCTCGAGACCCTTGCGGAAGCGTTGAGAGTAGGCGCTGTTCAAGAGCGCGTCTCCGCTGTGCACGATAGTCACTCCTTTACTCTGCATTGTGTGTTCAGGAAGGGATAAGCGAAGCAGAAATATCGTGGGACATACAGGCCAGATATCCTTGATTTCACCGGCGAACTCTGGGGAGGATAGGTTATGAGCACGCTTTCCCAGATGGAAAGACGTAAAGCAGCTTACCGACGGCAACAGAGCCACCGCCTGCAAGCACGATCTGCTCTGCGTTCTTGAAGCGCGAGCGTGATTCCGCCACGAAAGGAGCGACCTCAGAGGCTTGGGTGGGGAACTCCAGGGGGCCTTCCCAGACAGAGCCAGGGGCCAGCACGAGCACGTCGTACGAGATCGTCTTTCCATCCGCAAGAATAACTTCGCCGCCCTTCCTTGCGGGCCGGATGGTTTCCACGATGCCCTCGACAAAAGAGCCATTGGGTGTCGTGTAGAGCTTGTCGTAAGGCACCAAGGCAGTTTCGAAGAGGTCGTTCTGGTTCGACACAGTCATGCGAGCCAGTGTGGGCCGCATGATAGAATAAGGCAGGGGGTTAATGAGTGTGACTTTCGCGGTCGGCAGGAGGGAGGCTACGGAGCGCGCCACTTGAGCGCCGCCACCTGCACCACCGCCGACGATAACGATTTTGTGGGAAGACATGGAAGGAAAGGGGTTATGTCAAGAGATCTCTGGATGTTGGCCTGGAGGGTCACCGGCATCTTTGCGCGTTTTAACTGAATGTCGCCTTCTGCAGAGTCGGGCAGCTAGTTGCAGATCGCATAAGCGAATTCCAGATCAATCAGCCAGGCGGTGATGCGAAAGGCCATAATAGCAGGGGGGCGGCGTTAATGACAGGGTTCGAAACTGGGTCGTGTTCAGGGTGAGCAAAACACGCAGAAACATGACGAATCACCGCTGTCATTAGGTAAGGGTCATAGAGTGCGTCTGAGTCTTGGTGGCGCAAGAACGAGTGCGCAGATCATAACACTGTCAATCGGCCCGCTCTTGGGTAATCATCATCACGTACCAGGTCCGCTCACTCGAATCACCGCCTCGGACATCTCGAACAACCTTAAACTCGCCACAGCTTTCAAGATCAATCTTACGAGCCTGAGCTCAAACTGCTGTGCGGGAAAAACAGACATCATCAGACCTCACCGAAGCACGGCCAATCGGTCGAGTAATTTTTGGTATCGACACGCACTTCGAGACAAATGTAATTTAGAACAAATCGCGCTCCAACCTAGATCATTGGGAAGAAAAAGATGCATGTTTTCCTCCCTAGACTGGGGAATGAAATGATATCTTCTGTCTAGTACGATTATAGTGCAGCTTCCACTCAAACATGTTGCTGATAGCCCAGGCGCGATGATATGTGCGACGCTGAGTATCCATTCTATCATACATAGCGACGTGAATTGCATGAACGATGTCTGCGATCTATCTATATACCTGGAAGTAGCCTAAGATGGCGCATAAGCAATTTAGAATGAGAGAAGGACTAGGAAAACACTGACCACCCATACTTGACAGAGTCATCAGCATCAACGAGCGATGCAGAGATGAGTTGCCTCGCCTCTAGAGACACCCAAATCTGGAGACCAATTTTAAACATAATCGGAAAAGACAACAGCTCCCACGTACCTTGAGCATGGCACCCAAGTTACCTGTTTCCCGTTCCGATTCTAAAGTGGTGGACGCCGCCATCTCAGTGCCCAGCGTGCGGAGTATAGGCAAAGCACTCTTGAACAAATCGAGTCCAGGATCCAACTGCCGCCCGATGCCTTCCAATAAGAGAATGCTGATGACCGTGTTGATGAAATCGCCCTCCATCTTGACATGATGCTCCCGCACGCTTCTCAGCACCTCTGTGAGAACATCGGAAATCTTGACCTGCCCAAGCGAAAAGGTCTTGCGCTTGACGCTCAGCACAAGATGCTGCATCTTGAGCGCAAAGGTCTCTGTGTCAATCGCAAGTTCCGGAGTTCGGCAGCGCTCCACCATCAGCTGGCCAGTCCGGTAGCCGTCGAATTCAGCCATGGCCCTGAACATGTCGAGGAAATTCTTGCGGTTGACTTCGGACAATGTGGTCACCAGCCCCGCGTCGATGAAAATGATCTCGGGTACGTATCCCTCTGCACCGAGTTGGTCCAGTTTGGCGCGCCATGCCGTAGGATTGTGCGCAAGATCCATGAGTTCAGACACGACACGATCGGATTCTGAATCAGAGACCAGCGCTTCTGGAACATGTCCAGTTTCAGCTCTGTGGAAAAAGGAATTGAATATATTGCGTAGGAGAAGACTGGTGGACGGAGGTTTGCCGAATTTGATCATGATATTCCCAGGGTGGAGGTCCGAATGTACGAAGTTGTCGAGTAGCAACATATTCTGACACGGAGATGAGCCAAGAACGATCATGATCTCCAAGGCTCACCAAGAATGCATCCAGTCCCACAGTGGCGACTTGGTCTTCAAACGGCCCGCCACCATGTCTTAGAAAGGGTTCCAAAGGAAGCGCCTTCTCGTATTCCTCGACGAGAACGTCGCTGCTCGACCAGTCGACCAGTGGACGAGGGAAGGCAATGGGCACTTTTCTGGAAGAGAAATTCTTCTCAAAGGTGATCAAATTTTCAGCCTCATGCCGCAGATCAAGTTGTTGGCGCATCATCTGGCCGAAAACGTCGACTTCTTCGACCAAAGACAGCCACTGCATTCCAGGGAACAGAGTGATGAAATGCGCAAAGAACGAGATGATCGCGAGATCCCTGGAGATCGTCTTCTGCACGTGGGGATGAAGGACTTTGATAGCGACTACGGCAGTAGGGGCTGAAGGCGGGGGATCTTGTAATATTGCAGGTCCCAACGCGCCAGTCGGCCCTGTGAGCTGTCGCCGTGGCCCCAAGAACGACGGCGGGATCAGGTCCTTGCGCAGGACAGCTCGGTAAACCTGACAAGTGTTAATCGGAGACTGTTTTGCTTGCTCAACTGTGGAATCTACCTGCGCAATGGCACCTGTGCCAATCGGTGTCTCCTCGAACTCCTCGAAAATGTCGCTGAACCGCCGGTGGAAAACCTTCTCAAGCTGCTGCCGTGTGTAAACTATGCCATGGGATTTCCCGCGCGAATGTAATCGACCAAGCCCTTCACACAGTAAAGACGGGAAAAGATCAGTTCTGGACCCCGCCCATTGAGCCAACTAGGGCGCGTCAGATGTATGATCTGTTGGCACTGAACCACTCACCTTGATGAATGCCGGGCCGGCTGTTTCCATTTGGGTTACTAGTAGATTGTACCACCAAACAGCGCCCCACCGATCTCCGCGCAAGCGCTTCTCAGGCCTTCCAATGAGAAGCATTGGACAAGAGATGATGACCGGAATGAAGAGCACGACCAGATAGACAAATCGTCCGGCGGTCAAGAAAGGCTCCCATAGTCGATCCCGGATAAACGCCCTCAGCCGGGCGCTGATCGTCAACTCGTATTCGGACGCCGAGAGAAGGAAAACCTGGCGCGGTTGTGGTTGACATGGGATCACCGCTGGTGAGGAGATCAAGGTCGGTATTGGGGAGGAGGTGTTATCCGGTCTCAAGTAGAAGGCGAGGCCACCGGCAAAAGGCAGGAACCACCAGGCTGCGCGTCGTGCATTGAAAGGATAACGGGCAAGGGGCTTCCTGCTAGTGTTGAAGAAATCCGGTACGAAGGAGGCATGCCGAGCCAACAGAGGAGATGATCTTAGCGGGCGCGTGATGAGTTGGGGATTAACAATGGAGGCACGGAGCGCAGGAGGGAGCCCGCTGAGCCTGCTGGTTGTCGAGAACCACATCAGTCCATGACGTCGTCAAGAAAGAGAAAATCGACGTGGCTGTGCTTCTTACGCGACCCCGACCTTCCAAGTACCCGGGGTATCACCGATATCGAAGGCAATTTATGCTTGTACTCAGCAGTAGTGGTATCGATAGCTACTATACGTACTGACCAGAGCAGCACTCCTATTGGCGTTATCAAGTACTCCTTATGCAGTGAGAACATCCTTCGCAGCAACGAGACGGCACATATGAAACCAGCGAAGCAAGAGGGGCCAGACCCCACTGCGAGTGATGCTAACTTACAAACTTATCTAACCGTGCGAGTGCCGAGAGTGCCGAGACGATTGAGCTCTGTTAACAAACTGTTACTACTGAAAATTTTACGAGCATCCAAAAGGGGAGGAAGATACTGGAGGTTCTCTCATGGGGACAGCTCTGGTAGCGAGCAAACAGAACACATCCGGTCAAGGGATCCCGGTCCGAGATTTGAATTGAGAGTATCTGAATCAAAAACAAGACTCAACAGAGAATTTGGGAATCATCCTTTCTTCTTCCTCCATGGCAGAGTCCGGGGGAACGCCGTCTTATGCGTTTGCAACCCTAGTGACTTCTGACCATTATCTGCCAGGTGCACTAGCTGTCGCAGGCGCGCTCAAGGACCTGCATCCGTCCCCGGCTGTTTCACCGGAGGTCGATTTCCAGACTGTCTGCATCGTCACTCCAGAATCCGTCGATGTATCTACTATCAAGCAGCTCCGACAAGTCTTCAATCTTGTTGTCGGTGTCGAAATAATTGCCCAAAGAGACGACAGTGGCCTGAAACTTCTCGGTATGTCTAGCTGATACACTGATTCCCCCCACACCCCTTTCCTTAACGCGTATATGCGCACTTCATGTGCCCCAAAGCACTCCCCATTGGAGAAACAACTGTCCTATTTCTGGCGCTTCCTTCCCCGCTCGTTTGACGCGTCTGTGCTTACCCCGCACCCCGCATGATCTCCTATGGAGCGCATCGCACATCATGTGATTGACTATTTTCCAGGCCGGCTCGACCTCAACACTGTCCTTACAAAGCTGCATGTTTTCCGCCTCACACAATTCTCCAAAATAATCTTTCTCGATGCCGACGTTTTGCCCGTCCGACCACTCTCTCATTTGTTCACACTTCCCCACGAATTTTCCGCAGTCCCCGATGTTGGATGGCCTGACATTTTCAACTCCGGAGTTCTTGTTTTATCGCCAGGCGAAGAGAAATTCAACGAGCTGAACGAGCTTTTGAAGAGTCGGGGTACTTGGGATGGTGGTGACCAAGGGATATTGAACGAATGGCGCGGCAATGACTGGAATCGCCTGAGCTTTACGTACAACACGACTCCGACCGCTGCTTACACGTCAGTGTTGAGTATCTATCATCCATCTTCTCACTGACACGCTTGTCCAGTTACGCGCCGGCCTACGCACGCTTCGGTTCTCAAATCTCTGCCATTCATTTCATTGGGCCCAGCAAGCCTTGGAAAACCCTCCCAACTCGTACTCCATTCCAGAGCTCTCAGCGTAGCGGCAGTGATACCTCCCGGTCAACCTCTGGGGCACTGGAAGCATACGACTATAATTCGCTTGTTGATCGCTGGTTCGCCGTTTACGACAAGCATTATCGCACCGATACTACCGGGGATCAGTTCGATTTCGAAGTGCAGCACTATCCTTCGGTGTGGGATGGACAGGTTGGGGATGCTGGCTCCTGGCACACTCAGGCTGCCTCTACTGTCGCCGCTCCGTTCAGCCTTGTGGATCTTCGTCGCCTTGCTATCCAGGGTCAGCCCACCAATACAGCGGCGTCGTCTTCTGTTGGAGAAGGCCAATATATGCGCTTGCCATTGGAGGGCCGGATTCACCTCATGCGTCCCAATGAGAGCGATGCAGCCAATAGAAAACCCGATTCAGTCCCCCGGGTCGATGATTTAGCTTCTGGTCCTAAAGAAGCATTGCCTAGTCCTCATCTCTCTCCCATTTCTCTGTCACTCACCCCGAATCATGAAGATTCTTCTCAGGAGCATCAACATTCCCAGCATCAGTCTTCGCAGGAGCTCGATCACGGCCAATATCCGCAACCCAGACCGGCTTCACCGCCCATGGTAGCATGGAACCCGGCTTTGGAACCTCCCCCCACTGCTCCGCCGACATCTGCTTTCCCATCCGACACGTACTTTCCCAACATATGGGACCAGCCTGTCGTTCATCAGCAGCATTATCGGCAAGGTCCTCGCGCAGCTTCACCTCCTCCTGACTCTGGCGCATTCTTCCAGCCGCCACCGCCCCCGGAGATTCCCGAGGTCTTGCGTCAGCAGGGCCATTATCGAGAAGTGACGGGCGGTGAGCAGGGCATATCGCCAACAAGCCCCGATCGGACCAAAGTCAAGAGCGTATTCCCTTGGGAAGAGAAGCCTCGCAAAATGCCGGGGCGCGTGTTTCCCGCAGCTGATGCCCCATCGCCGTCGATGTTCACGAGCTCAGGTACGGATAGTCCAAGTACACCTGAGTCTTCTGTTGCGTCGTTGCCGAGGTCTCAGCCGCTGTCCCCATTGGGAGGACTGCCTGCGACATTGGCGTACGTGAATGCCTGGGATACTGTGCCGAGCATTCAAAAATACGCATCGAGACTTGTGCGCCCATCGCAATCGACATCGCTGGCACCGGCATTTGATAGCGACGAGTGGCGCAAGGGAAAGAGTTGGGAGGATCGAGTCGAGGCGAGCAGCATGGATGGAGACGACGAAGATACCAGCGGCGACGACGACGAATCTTTGGACGATGCGCAAAGCTCGACACCAATGCGTTCACGTGCGTCGTCCATTTCGGCTACCTACAGTATCAAGGGCAAGAATAAAGAATATACCGTACGTGGAGTTCAAACTATATCCCCAAAATATCGGAGCCAGGCAACTCAAGTCGCATTGGATACGGCCAAGGTTACGACTCAACGCCGTTCCTCTCGCCAAGAAACACGCCGGCCATGGACCTCAACGGCTGTTACCACCCCTGTTGACTCGAAGGCGGCGATGGTTAGTTCGCCGATATCCGCCGGACCAACATCGCCTCGCGAGTTCAACTTCGACTCTCCCACGACTAGAAACAACACTGAGGCCACCCCGCCTCCGCGAACCGCAGTTCAAGCGACTTCGCCAGCGTCGGTGCCGTTCAGCACCAACGACACTTCGCTTACGTCCCCGCCATCCTCAATCGGGCCGATCTCGCCGCCCGATGCGCCGCTCGTTCCTCCCGCTCGCAAAGGCAGTCGTGTGTGGGATCCCGCTCGTGGAGTCGACGTCTTCAAACGCGGTTCTGAAGAAGTTCTGGCGCGTTTCCTCAAGATGCGTTCCTGGGAAGAAGACGCCGCCGCCTGAATGTTATACTTTCGCTCTGCTGTAACAGTTTCCCGCATGTTGTCGTGTCGACCCTGTAGCTATTTGCGCAATTGCCATATCAGAAGACTTGCAATGGACACTTTGGCTGTGGAGCTGTTTTGGAGTGCCTGTCCTGAACGCGTCAAGACGCGGTCACGGGATCGCAGACTGATGACACCACTCATGACGTAGCTCAGCTATCCTGCGAGTATATAGGCCAACCCCCTCGGCCTTAGCTTCATTAGCACTCATTCAAACTCACACATCATGTCTACCAACGGCCAAATTTTCAACGTCACCGAGACTACCCACCCTTCAGAGTGCGTGACCAAGTCGACTGGACTCTCACCTGCTCATGTGTTCCATTAGATTTCAGACCACAGCGGCGCAGGCTCAGGTCGAAGCCAAGACTGGCACCATCGCTCGCGAAGTCGGTGCGTTCACATTTTACTTCGCTTGATGCGCAGTGCACTGATCTTGTTGCAGAAGCTAACGCCGAGCAAGCGAAGGATGCCGCAGAGGAAGCCGCAATTGCAGCTCAGGTGCATCAGCCAGCGCATCATTTCAATCTCAACTCACCTTTGACTTCGTCAGTCGAAGGGCCCTGCGCTCACTGGCCAAACTGCCACCGATCGCCTCATGAACGACGCTCAGATCGTGACTGGTCAAGCTGTTGATCAGGGCAAGCAAAGTGTGTCAGAAGCAACAACGGCAGCTTCCACCGCTGGTACTACGTACCTCGACCAGGCGAAGAACCTGGCGTCCAATGCCGTGGCATCTGCCCAGGTACGTCCATTCATCCGCAGCTGTTCCTGGGCGAGTCGTTCTGACGTCGTTCCAGTCATACATTCCCCCTGGCTCCGGACCCAATGGCGAGCACACTGCGACCGACGTGCTGCACGGATTGCAAGTCGGTGCGACTGCCGCGTATAACACGACAGTTGAGTATGCATCGGCTGCGGCAGGGGCTGCTCAACCCCACCTCGTAAAGGCCAAAGACATGGCGACGAACTACATTTCCGGCGGGCAGGCAACAGAAACGGCCCCGGTTAAGAGCAAAGGGGTGGACGAACTCTAAGCTGAGAAGATGAAGATACCCAAATGCAATATTCTACATTTCATTATTCTGTATCTGTAACGAGCTCAAAGGTTGTATTTTCTTGCATACTTGGCGCTTCCATGAGAGCTGTCTTGTGACGTCAGATCAAATTATCAAGAGATCGGGAGTGACCATCTGCATCTCACTCCAACTCAAACCACCACCACCTAGCTACCTTACACCTCTGCCAGTATGGATATGAACACAATGCTCGGGTTTGCCCAGAAGTTCTTGGGTGCGCACCGATCTTTTTACAACGCTTGCTGGATCTTCAATGAGCACTATCTATAGCCCCTGGTACGCAACCATCGTCTACCAACTTTTCGAGATCGTACGCGTTGATAACTTGCGTTTGCAGAGGGTCATGAGGACAGTGTCCGTCAGGCGGCTGAGCAAAACCCCGATGATGAGCAAATCTACCGTCAGGCCGCACAGCACGTCGCCCGCAACACCGTGCGTGGCGCGCTTAATCTCCCTTCCGCCCGACCTGCGGCCCTAACGACGGATCTATTTTGCACAGGATGAGCACCGGCCTGTCTCTGACGACGAGGCAGAGGAGGCCAAGCAGGCGCACCACCAGATCTACCGACAGGGAAACACCGACAACCTCGAGGCGATGGGGTCTAACGCCGTCGGCGGCGCTGTCGCCACCCAGGTGCGCGCTTCCCCTCGCGTCTATCTTTACAGCAAACCCGGATCTGACTCCGTCTATAGGTCATCCAGAAGTTTATGAGCGGCGGTGGCGGAGGCCAGGGCGGAGGTGACCTGATGTCGTTCGCGATGACGGAGGCCAGCCAGCTGCTCAGCGGAAGCAACAACCAGGACTTCAAAACCGAGGTCATCCAGAAGGCTGCGATGATGATTTTTAAGTCCCAGATGAGCGGTGGAGGCGGAGGCGGAGGCGCTATGTCCCTCGTGAGTTATTTACCCTGTGATGGAAAACGGGACGCCGGCTGATGAGATCAGCTCTCCAAGTTCATGTGAAGAGCGAACTAGGCGAGCGAAGGAATGAATGACTAACTGAGAGAAGCTTAATACTGACATGGACTTGAATTGTGTTTGTTGTTATAAATGGAACTTTTTAAACTTGATTCTGGCTGTACCACGACTGCATGGCCTGAGACTGTCAGAACACAAATGAATCGACAATCAGAACCCTGAAGGACCTCAGCCAGGTACAAATAGCTGTTAAAACTGGCTACGAGAATGCGTAACACATACGACTCTAGAGTTTGTCAGAGTTCAGAATGAGGACTCGAGCAACAACCTCATCGCAGGCAACTGTGTAATCTTTATCTCCTGTATACGAGACATCGCTCGGCGGAGCCGCTGGTCGACGACAATCTGAAGTGACCTAAATCGGCGATGTAGTCCTCGGCATGCAGCGAATATTGATGCAAAGCAATTTGTATTATATACAACCAGACGGCAGGGCAAGCATAGGCACGCGTTCCAGAGGGAGAACATAGTGAGCATAGTGGTATGTTGGTGGCATGATTGAGTAGCAAAGATGACAGCTGGAAAGCGATAACGTTAGCAATAAGGTAAGAATACAATTCTTGGTTTGGTTTGCTGGGTGATGGGTATGGATACAGTGGGATGCAGATGCAGATGCGAACGAATCAGATGGTGGACACAGAGAGAGAGAGATGAACGAGGCATGAAGGTAAGCACACTAGCACTGGATGCCCGCATACGGGATAGCACCCACACCAGGCATCCCGCCGAAGAACATCTGATGGATGGGCGATACTGGCACATTCATGTTCATGTTCATCGACATGGGCATGCCCGCGGCCATTTCAGGCTGCGGGAGGTCAAGTCCAGGAATAGGCATCGACAGGAAGTCGATGTTGGAGACGTTGTACGTGGACGTCGGCTGCCGGTAGCCGATATTCAAGAGGGTCGGGTCGATATCGCCGATATCGATGAGGTTGTTGCTGCTGCTGCTGCTGTCGAGGCCGAGGAAGTCAAGCGCGTCCATAGACTCAGGCAAGTACGAGAAGTTGTCTGCGCCGAGGTTAACAGAGAATCTCAGAATGAAACGCGGAAACGCACTGAAATACGCCTGGGTTTCGTCGATATCGTGCGCTAAAATAGGCAACGGCTGGCCGTTGAACGACAGCGGCGTGGACGACTCGGAACCTGATAATGGAACAATCAACAAGTGGTCCTAAATGGGAAAAAGGACATACCAGGAAGGGAGGACAGCGTGGAGTCCGTCAACGGCGACTCGGCGCTGAAGTACGCAGTGATCTGGTCGAGGTCGAACGCAGTGATATCGAGTGGGGCGTCAAAGCGGTTGGGCTGGAATAGATCCAGATCGGATCCATTGTTGATTACGGCGGTCGGGTCGCTCTCCCAAGAAGCGGGGGGTAGCGGGGCGGAGGATTCGCGAGTGCGTTGACGCTTGTTGTTGATCAAATCCGAGTCGGACACGCGACGGCGTTTGAGCGAGTTGTGTGCAGGTGATGGCGACGACGGCGTATCCAGTCTGCTGGAGTTGAGCTGTAGTCCCAAAGAAAGACAACAAAACGAAACCTACCGGCGCCGTTTGACCCCATGTTCCAATTCATTCTCCGACTCCTGAACATCATCGCTCGAGCGCTTGCGTGGTGAGGCTCCAACACCGAGCCCTCGTTGTCCGTGGCGCTTCTGCTCGCGTCGAAGACGCGCAAGCTCTTTGGCCTGGTGTCCAGACTCGGAATCCGGGCTCGAAAGGTCGCTCGAGCGGAAGCGGTTCCCATACAAATCCTGCGCTTTGGCCTCGATTGCAATGAAAATGCCGCGCAGACGGTGGTAGTTGGGGTGGTTGCGGTAGCTGAGTGAGGCAGTGGGCTCCGGGACGAAGTGCCCGCGCGCGGCACAGACCATGTTCGCACGGTCCCGCCCAAATTCCTCTTTGAGGGCCCGCGTCCAGCCGATACGTTGACGCGCATCGACAAACCAGGCGGAGATGCGCTCGAGCGTTGACCCGGCGTCGTCCGCCATCTTTTGTTTCGTCTCGGTGTTCGGGTACGGGTCGTAGAGGTGCCGGCAAAGCCAGCCATAAGCGGCAGAGATATATGCTGGTGAGTGTTGGTTTATTGGGCGGAGGGCCGGCGGAGACGGAGAAGACGAAGATGACATCGAATTGGAATTCATGGACGGGTTGCCCAACGTCAGTTGATCGAAGGCTGCTTCAAGCTCGTGTGTCACGGAATCCGCTTCCGTGTGCAGGAACAGGAAGGCATCTGCAGCCACTGATACTTTGGCAGCGACGTTGTACGCGAGGGCGGCCGTGTCTTCATCCATGAGACCTTGACTTGAAGCTGTTTCGAGGTCGACATTCAATCGCGCCCATTCTTCTTCGAAGGCAGTAACGGTCTCAGCGTCACCACTGGAGAGAGAAGTGAGGGAGTCAGATTCTACGAGCAACAGCCTCTCGCGCAGCGAAAGAGACATGGAGGATTTGGTGAGAAGGAAATTCCAAGTTGTTGCGATCAAGTTTGTATGTCCCACGATTCGTACTCCGCATTGTGTGCATCACAGGACCAAACATCAACAACATTGTCAGTGGGTCACACACGCCATTGGTCACACAGAAACCACATCCTGCTCTCTGCACTCACATCCCTACGATGGTTGACCTGAGACGTACAGCTGCTCTGGAACGATTACGGGCTGTGTCCAAATCTATGGTCAACGTGACCAAGAAAGCCGCACCATTACAGAAGACCGTTGACATCGCGACGCTGCCTACCGTCTCTCTGCCAGATCCTCCGTCCATCTACCCCAAACTACTAAATCTTCTATCAAACGATACACTGGCGCACTCGATGGCCTCTATGTACGAGGAAAAGGCCAAAGAGATACGCACACGAACGGAGCTGTCAGTGCAGCGCCAATGCTCTAAACTGGCGGCGTCTCCAAGAAACTCCCACATCACACCCCTGCCACTTCTTCTCGAAAACATTGTCTCTCTTGCCCAGCGGGAGTATGCCAGAAGCTTGGTATCACTAGAAAATCGTGCCTTGCGGGTGGTCGCAAACCGCAAGATAACACCTTGCGGTGATGCCGGGTCCACTGCATCGAGCTCTCAGCCTGTAGCTTCATCTTCACGGCACAACTCTGTATCGTCCTCACGATCCACGAGCTCAAGCTCGAGCAGCTCGGGTGTGCGGTCGCGGCAAAGTACGCCGAGCCGGTCGCGATCGGGGACACCCACGAGCGAACGCGCGGCGTTCAAAACGGTAAGTTGACGGCAGTTTTTGAGCCCGATGTAACAGAAACTCACGCGGACATCACAGGAATATGCGCCGTTCCTGCAGCGGTACTTCACATACAACGCGTACCCGTGCGGTGCGGACCGGAGTGCGATGGCGGAGGAGAGTGGGATGACGGCGTCGCAGATCAACGTGTGGTTCCAGAACCACCGCGCGCGGCTGCGGCGGGACGCGAAGGCGCGGGGGGAGGCGGCGCCGGTGCTGCGGCGGGTGGAGACGTGGGAGCGCGCGCCGCTGGAGCTGTGTCTGGCGGGGATGGGGAGTGTGGCGGCGGCGCGGCCGACGATGCGGCAGGTGGTGGACGACTCGAGCGAAGGGTGGGACGGGCGCTCGGACGGGGATAGCGAGGACCCGGAGCCTGTACGGGATGAAATCATGGCGGAGAAGCGGACACGGAATGTGCTGGATGCCGTAGACCCCCCGCCGCACGCGTTTCCCGCGCGCAACACGCTCGCATCACCTACGGCGATCCGGGCCACGACGGCGTTTGCCTTTGAGTGTCCGTGGCCGCGGACAGCGGCACCATCAGCGCCATCGCCGCCGCGGCGTGCGCCGCTGAGCATGGGGGAGCTGGCGGGCCGGTTTGCGGGACTGACGACGCACGATGCGGCGAAGACGGCAGGGGACGGGTACGCGGACGGGGAAAGGCGGTTCCGGAACGCGACGTACTGTGTGCAGCCGGTGTCACGTGCGCTGCGCACGCCGTGGGGACTGTCTTGCCCGTCATCACTTCCACTACTACCATCACGACCACCTGCGACGGGCCGGTCGAGGCTGCGGGTGTCGGCGGCGTTCGCACGGCAGGCACCAGCGTCGTTCCCGCGCCCTGCGTCGCCTGTGGAGTCGTTCTCGGAGATGGAGTCGGAGGCGGAGTCGGGCGGGCCGAGCACGCCTGTGGATGCGTTCCCGGTGCTCGATCTTGCGGGTGTGGTTGTGGCGGGGGATGATGACCCGCTGGAGTGTCTGTTTGACGAGACGGCGGGGGCGTGGTGATGTGTGATGTGTGGGTGTCTATGATTATGGTTAATGATAATATGTTATCTCTCTCGCTCTCTGCTGTATTGTATGTATATACGTGTGTGTGTATGATTTCTGCTGGCACATTCAAAGAGATGAACATAAGAACGGAATGCAGGTAGTATGAAGTGCCCTGTACTCGAACCAGTAGGGTCTAAACTAAACAAGCGAGCAGTGACCTCGGATTGAAGTGCCGGTCGGCGACGAGGACCGTACGCGCACACGACCACATGTCAGCTGCTGTTGCTGTCGCTGTTACAGACGTTGGGGGCCATCTACTGTACTCGTCATGGACATAATATAAAAAGGCCGTCCAGACCGTACTCAAGATAAGTAACTTTTCGATTTTTGGCTGTAGTCCGTGTCATCGCTGCGATGAATGAATCGACCCTACGCGTTTTGCCAGTTTCGCATTTCGCAGTCAGCTCGAAGATAGCCAGCACACAGCCGCGCGGATATCACCGTGACCATCGGTGCCAGGGTCTGCAGACGCAGACTTGCGACGCGCTTCAGAGGCACTCCGAGTGTCAACGACGCGGGTTTGCAGTGCTCCGAATCTCTGACTACTGGACAGCTCCATCGCGACGATTGCCACGGAGCATCGGGCTACCCGCAGAATCTCGTCGTCCAGCCGTCTTGCAGTGACAGCGCCGAAGAAAAACCAAGTGCAGCTCGCGGACCTCCAGAGACAAGTCGTTTCTTCGAATGGTGCGAGCAAGCCAGTCACAAATCATTCCGAGTCGATTCCCAGTGCTTCGTCAGAGAACGGTACTGCAGCATGTTGTTGCCGCGGTACAGGATTCCAGTTTCAGAAAGAGCCTCACGTGCTCTGACCCGCCTTCCGACTTGAACATCTAGCCGGACAACCGGGTTCGGTTCGATGGGAACCGCATCCACCATCTCTCTGAGAAGTGGCATGCCCGGCATACACGGTCAAGACAAGAACGACCCTCCATTTAAGTACCCACCGAGACTGTACGGCGACTGAATCTGATGGACACATGCGCGCCACTGCCTCCTGGGACCGACGCCGTCTAATGCTGCCATCCGACGATCTCCTGCCAGCGCCGATGGATGGACTCCCGTGCCCTGAGACTACATATATGCCGCCGGCCAATCTTGGTTCCGTCCGAGCTGGTGTCCTAATCCGCCACTCACTGAGGCGCTGGGCGCTTGGTGGCTGGGAACTGTGGCAGTGTGTAATACGGAGAAACGCTGCGCGGACACAGTTGAACTCTCTCCCGCTTTTGTGGCCATGCCACAAGCTGACGAACAGACGAGAGACCGATGGAGCAGCTTCCAGCGGGAACACGCTCTGGAGCGTCTGCGTCTCCGAGGCGGAGAGCTACGATCAAGGCCCAGATATGGATGAACTGCTGATGTGACTCTTTGTGCATCAGAACCCCCCGGGCTTTCCGTCGTGGATTCCAGTCCCTTCCTGAATGTGGCTTATCGCAGGCTGGTCTCTTCTCTGGCGTCGTCACGACATTGATTCAAATCGACAGCTGCAAGACGCTGAACGCCGACTCGGGGAGCCAGACCGCCGTGCTCCTCAGCCAGATCTCGCAGCAGCTCGTGGACCTGAATAACGGCACCGCGGCGACCGACGCTCTCCCTTCTACCGCTCCCGCCCCCAGTCTCCTCCCTTGTCTGCAACGCGCGTTGGTTCGCGAGTCTCGCGCTGAGGTTGTCGAGCGCACTCGTCGCGACCCTGGTCAAGCAAACAGTAGGCGCAGGAGTACCAGCACCGCACGTCCGTATTCGCCTCGGTCCCGTGTGTACATGTATCTCTGCTGCGGTTTGCGCCGCTCCGGATATGCATGCCGTCGTCGGCGTTCGCCCGCACTGCTTTTGTTCCTTGCGGGTCTGATGGCATTTCTTGTGCGCGTCAACATCATCATCATGGCCATGCTTAACATCCGCTCTCCTGCTCCGGAACGTCCACCGCACTGCCGCTGTTCTTCTCCGACAGCCCGTACCAGACGCCGCTCACCCGGATCAAAGCTTTGGGAGCGAGCGGAGGGTTTCTCTTAGGGGGGCGGTGGCTGTTTGCACGGCCGTCCTTCGAAAGCGCGTCGCTCCGAGAACGCCGCCGACTTGGGTATCTGCTGTGACTGGAGTATGGTGGACACCCTGACATCGAAAGCAGTGCATCCAAGCGATCGGACACTCGCGTGGACCGTCTCGCGTGTATTCGGCGCAGTGCCAGACCCGGGAGTCCATCTCCGCCAGCGTCTTGCCGATTTCATGTTACCTACCTCGAACAGCAACCTCCGCGAGCCCGAGGACTGCCGTCCGCCGCCCGCTCTTTCTTGGTGCTCCGGGTCTGCGCGTTCTCCCTCCACACGGGAGGTCGCCGCTGCGGTGTCCGATCGGAGAAGAACCTGACGTGGACGACGAACGCCCTGCTCGGCGCAGACTCCCGACGTGCAGAGCATGCTGCCCGGCGTGTCCGCTCTTGTCCGTCTGAACATGATCGAGTCTCGGAGCCGGGAACGCGAACGGGAGCGGGCCCTCGCACAGACAGGCAGCAGCAGCAGCACCGCCAGTGATGTCCGCGCCGAAACCGGAGCGGAGAAAGCACGGCAGGGGGATACGCACCAGACGTATCTGGATTATGTTTCTGTGCTCACTATGCCGATGCCGGTCCGACTTGCAACGGGATGTGACCCGACCCATTCACTCTTGGATCGGTCGCAAATACGGTTCACGGGCTGCCAAACTCTGCAAGACGCGCTTGAAACGCTGATCGCACATGCGTCAGACGAGACAACAGCAGACAACGTCGTCTTTGCTGCGCGCCGGATGATCGCCCCGTTCGCCCAGATATCGGATTATTTGTCTATGGACGCTGTGGCTCCCGGGTCCCGGTCCGTTCCTTCTCCGATATCCGTCTCGCCGCCTCTAGCCCGGACTTCCACTTGCAGCAGCCCATTCCAAACTATCGCTACACCCGAGACCTATACTACCGGCGCTACAAAACCCTGTTCCACGGAATCAAACCGAACCCCAGCCACGCGTCGACGCGCTCGAGCTGATATACCCGAAGCCGCTTGCCTCCCTCGCGTGTGGAGACGGTAGACCAGCTCGAAACCCACCACGCCTGTGGTGTGGGTCCTCCGCAGATCAGCCGACATCCGCACGGACCGTTGGGCTGCCGTCGTCGTCCAGTGGGTCGGTTGTGCTCAGATGTTTCCGGCTGCTGGAGGTTGTCGGGAGGATCTGGCTGACGCGACCTGGTCCCGCGCCGTGATCGGCCTTGGCAGCGATGTCTGGACGGGACGGCGGCGCGGCTGGCGTGGTGTGGGTGTAGTGACCGCGTTCTGCGAGCGGTCCACCGCTGCTCAAGTGCCGGATGAAACCGACCGGGACGTTGGGACGCTCAGATCGGTGCACCACCGAGCCATCAACAGGTCTTCGGTGATCCCGACGGCACTGCAGCGGCGATTCGCCGGAAGACTGTCTTGTCGATGATCGGTGCTGTTCTATGGATGCATTGCACGTCCTGGATACGGCGGTGTCGGCGGTGCAGCAGCCAGGACACCGACGCTGTGCTCAATTGATTCGCGGATACGTGCAGGACAGAAGCGCAAGCGACTCGCCCACCCGCTTGCCATCGGCGACGCGAACAGCTCTTACATACATACTGGTGCAACAACCCCTGACCGGGTCGCATGAGTGCGGCATACAACAACAACCTGTGGCAGATATGTAGATAGATGTATGTACTCCATCGACGCGCCTGCACGCCCCCGCCACACGACCCGAGCAGGCGCGCCCTACGCGACGGCCGCTTCGCGTAGATCGATTGACGCCGGTCCACTCGCACGGCGCCTGCAGAACGCGCGACGTGCGTCCGCAGCGCCACCTGCCTGATCCGGCCACCGGGCGTCGCGGCGCGCCTGACGTAGTCTGGGCTGGGACACCAAATGGGCATGGGTTGCTAAGCTACAGAGGTACGGGATACATAGGGCATAATACATGATGATGTGTTGGTGTTGGTGAGGTATGTACAGGGTATAAGCATAAGTGAGACTGAGCGAACGAGCACGCGCCGCTCGGTTCGCGACCAGGCCGGACGCGCAGCCCCAGAGAACGGGCACGCCGGATGTTCGGCAGAGGGAGGGAAGCAAGGCACGCCGGCCGGAAGCCCCGGCCCATCACGCCTTCTCCGTGCCCCCAAACCTGACCGAAAACGGCAGTGGCAGCGGCCCGCTCGGGGGTGTCCCAGGCATCGACGACAAATCGGACGACGACGACCGGCGCGACACGCTGAGCGACGGCGTGCGCGACGCCGACGAGGAGTACCCCGACTCGGATCGCTCCGACCACGCGGGGCTCGCGCTACGGCTGCTGCGCGTCGGCGTCCGCCGCGGCGGCCCCGACACCTTCTTGCTCTTCTTGCTCTTCGTAGTCCCCGTCGCCGTCCCCGTCGCCCGGGGTCCAGCAGCCGCAACGCAGCACTCTGTCGTCCGCGCGACGCACGACTGCACGGGGTGCGGCGCAAACTTGTTCGCCGCGCGGACGAACGCCGGCAGCGGCGCGCGTGGGGGAGTATACGCCGTGGGGAGGCAGAACCGCGCGCCCGCACTGCGGCCGACGTCCCACACCGTCAGGCGCGCGAACGCAGCTGTCAGCGCGGAGATGCTGGGCGCCGGGCTGGGTTTCGGCGCGGGGGCGCGCACTGCCCAGGTCGGCGGGGCGAACGACCACGTGCGGCCCGAGCTGGCGATCTCGTCCATCGTTTCGTACGTCCGGCGCGGGGCAAGGCCGCGCGTCGGCATTACCATCTCGAGCGGATTGTGTTCCATTCCTGCGTGGGAAGCGGCCGGACTCGACACGGACGAGTCGGTCTCCTCATCGCTCGACGTGCCGACCTCCTCCGCTTCGTCGTCGATCTCGAGCCTCCGCTCCTCCGGGATGACGAACGCCGGATCCATCTTCTCATCGAGCTCAGTCGGCGACAGCCCCCGAGACGACGGTTGCACCCGCCGCAGCGTCTGTCCTTCTTGTCTCGCCCGTCGGCGGTGGTTCTGGAACTACAAAAGAATTGGAGTCAGACGGGTTTATCAGAGATGAAGAAAGACATACCCAGACTTCAATCTGCCGCGCCTCCATTCCGGACTTGCGCGCCATTTCCGCGCGCTCGGCAGGCGAGGGAAAGGCGTTGTGGGCAAAGTATTGCTGTAGATAGGGCGTGAATTCCTGAACATGCTGTCAGGATCCGTTGTGGTGTGTTAGATGGGGTGACCTACGTAGTTGAATTTGGGCGACACTCTGCGGTCCTGAGGTAGTGAACGCGGAGACGTCTGTTGTGAGGACTGGCTCCGCGTTTGAAGGCATCTCTCTTTGAGCATCGGGGCGAGGACGGTGCAGACGGTCTCCTCTGCGCCTTTAACTGCCTTGGCATAGGCGGTGGTATGTGCCTCGGCAAGTCTTGAAAGGACTTTCGACAGAGGAACCAGTGTCTCTTGTCGTGGTAGCACAACCATGTCGTCGCAAGCACGATCGAGTATTCTCTGAGATTTTTGGCGCAGTTGTTCGCAATGGGTTTGGTATTGTGCAGATAATTTGTCGATGAGAGCGGCGCCCAAATCAAGGCTAGATAGTCGTGCTTCAATGGAGGGGGCCGAGGGGATTTTGTGTCGCTTCCCACTGAGGGAGGCTTTCTCCGCATCTGTTACTAGATGAGGCTGCAGCTCGGCCTCAGGAATAGTCTGTTTCCTGAGGGACTCAGTTGCCTGGAATAATTGCCGCAGGAGTTCGCGCGGTTCGGAAGTCATTTTTGGGTGGGGTGGGTGTTGAAAGCAGAACGTATGTTAACAGGTCCTCCGGCAGGGACATGGACACACAATGCGGAGTTGGCACTACTGATGGCAGACAATGCGGAGTTTGAATGTCATCCTTTGTCCCTGTCACTGTGCAATGATGCTTTATTCTCTCTTACCACCATGGCAGCTATTATTCGCGGCAGGCTTGAAGCTGCAGGATCCGAGTTTCTGACCACTCTCGACTCGAATACACTTGAGGCCTTCGAAGCTTTCCACGAGACTTGGGTCCCTCTATCGCAAGATGTTGCGCACAGGATTGCCGCCGGTACTCTGGACAAAGACACCATTGTCATAGCGCAGACCCTCGCGTCTCAAATCGCGTTGGCTATGCGCCCTCTCCTTCTCCTGCGAACCCAAGCCGACGAGGCAGCCCTTCAGATGCAAGCAGATTTCGAGAAGGATTTCAATCTCGAGGACAAAGTCCCCCCTTTGTCGCGTTCGTCTTCTCCTCATCGACGCAGCTCGTCGCCAGAAGGTCCTCTGCCTCCAAATACGCGCTTCGATTCGCGTGCCCTGCCATATATCGAAGCCGCCTACCGGTGGCTGCTGAAACACGTACACAACCCATACCCCAAGAAAGAAACCAAAGAACGCCTGGCCGAAATCTCCGGTTCAACCCCGGAACGTATCACTGAATGGTTCGTCGACGCCCGTCGTCGCATGGGCTGGACCAAACTTCTGCGTGAAGAGTTCGACCGCCGACGCGCCGACATGATTGATGCCGCGCACCGATTCTTCATCCATCCTATCAGGGGTCAACCACTTCCGCAGGATATCTTTGCCGAGTTCGCGAAGATCGAGCAGACGACGCGTGAAATGTACGCGGGCAAGTTCATCCCGGGCGACCTTTCAAACAAGATGGCTGCCGTAGTGCGGGATCTGTCGGTTGAAAAGCTCGAAGAGAGCAGACGCAAAAAGATGGAGAGGAAGGCATTGGAAGACGCGGCTGCGGCCCACTGCGAAGGAAGGACTGTCGATGCCGGTCATAAACGGTCCCGATCTGACGCGGACGAGTACGTGATGCTTTCCAGGAAACGCTTCCGGTGAGTCTTTCTAGTCACCGAGGAGGATGTCCACTCATCTTTCTTTGCTACAGGACTGGGGACCACATCCCCCTTCCTTCGCCGGCGTACTCCGTTCAGGTGCCAGATGCGGTGTCCAATCCCCGCAAGCGGCGACTGTCCAGTGTCGATTCGCAACATACCACTTTCAAACGGCCCCGGACTCAGGCTGAGATTGACGATAGCTCACGCGTGCAGGAGGAATCGGGCGTGGAACCTGTCATTCCCATCACCGTCACGCTTGCTGGCACCCCCGATGTGCTGGCTGATTGGTTCAGCACCGACCGTAATGGGGAGACGGACATCTTCGAGTCTGGCCAGCTGTTGGATATTCAATTCTTTGACCCTCTGGCCCTCAACATGTCTGACGAAGATGACGATGGGCCTGTCACTCCTGTCGACGCTCCAGCACAGTGTGAGTTGCGGTTTGTTGGCTTTTGTGACATGATGGTCTGATTGTACCTCAGCCATGTTCTTCCCCTCTCCAACTTTCGACCATGAAGACACGCTTGCTGTGGACGTTCCGGCTGATCTGCAGGCCTTGTTTGACTGGTCAATCACAGTGCCACAAAACCCCGCAGAGCATCTCAGCGCTGACATGAATTCTAATTCGACCTTTGTGGACTTGGGCCCGCAGGGAACGATTTCATATGAAGTGCCGCAGGACTTGCTGGCTGGATTTCCGGCCCCACTTCCTGGATTGGAAGGGTCTGTGCAAGATTCATTCATCACGCCTCAGAGCGTTGCTCAGATGATGGCTACGTATCCTGACATGTCCTACGGAGCATATCCTGGCTATGTGCAGCCTTACGGCAAGGATATGACTGCCCCTCCGGTGCAATTCACTGCCGTGGACCCGAACCAGCTCAGCATGGGGATATTCCAGTACCAACCTACTTATTGATCACTTATTGTGCGTTTTCTGGTTTGTGATGCCCACTCTTTCGCTTAACCATACCGCAGGACTTTATTTCTTTTCTCGTTTGAGAACCTCATCCGCATACCATATCATCTGTACGACCACTCGACTCACTGCACAAACTCAAGCTCAATGTATCACCGCTATCTCTATGCCTATTTGTTATATATGCACATGCCATGTCTTGGAAATACTGCACTCTCGAGTATTACTTGGTAGATACTGATTAATACACCTCGTCAGATTCAATGCAGCCCCCCCTCCCCGACATCATCCTCAATGCGCCACCTACCGACCTCCCGCATGGCCTGGGCATCACCTTCTTCGAGCTGCGGCGTAGAGAGTAGTGTGCTGACCATCTTCCACGGGTCTTTTCCTCCGCCGTACCTAAGCACCTCTTGCTTGTACTGTTCTCCTTTTTCACGATCGAGCGGATCCTCCGAGAAGACGTTCCTCCACACCCGCGATGCGATCGCACGGTCGAAGAGGTACGAATAGTACGTCGCGGCATAGCCCACCAAGTGTCCGAAGTGTGCTTGAGACGAAGTTCCAGGAACATGAGGGATCAGGCCACGCGTGTTGTGCAGCCTCGCGAGCTCGGCGGTCGAATCGAAGCCGCTTTCGAGGACTGACGGAGAGTGATAACCCTGGTCCAGCGCTGCGAGCAGGATTTGCGAGTATGTGTCAATGGAATGGCAAGGATCGACGTGCTGGTTGGCGCTCTGCCGCGCCAGAGTAGTAGAATCCTCGGCGTCGAACAGAGAAAGGACGGAAGGCGAGCTGAGGAAGTGTTCCATCAGGATCGACGGCAACTCGACAAAGTCTGTAGCACAGCGGGTACCGGAGACGTTCTGATACTCGGTTCGGCCGATCATTGAGTGCATAGCGTGGCCCATTTCGTGGAACAGCGTCGACACTTCGTGCCACTGCAACACCGACCCCCTCCAGAACTCGCAGACGAGCACGACCAGAGGCAACTGGTACGTCCCGTCCTGGCCAGGGAGCACGTGCCGCTTGACGGCTTCAAAATTCTTGGAGATTGCGATGTGTGGTTCGAGCTCAGCTCCGATGAGATCCCCAGCTTCGTCGTCGTCGTCCGTTCTCCTCGAGCATCGCACGGTGTAGTGTGCCGCGCCACTTGCCTTGCCACGCCGAGCATACAGATCGGCGTAGATCCACCCAATCACGCCTTTTGTCTCATCTACCACTTCTAGCTTCGTGACATCGGCATGATATGTCTCTCCAGCCTGGACTGACACAGGTCGCAAAGAAACACCGTATAGATGCCGGAACAACCGCGATAGACCCATGAACACCGTCCCCAGCGTCAAAGGGGGAAGTGCTATCGGCGGGGCTGGTGGTTCGGGAGGGCAGTAGAAGTCGCGATCCCAGGCTTGGATTACCGGGAGAGATGGGATGCGCAGGTGGGTTTGTTTCCGCTGGCTCAATGCATGCAAGGCGCTTTGGGCTGCCGGCCGAGTGTGATCGAGGAGAGCGTCAATGAAGTGTCCGACATTGGCTGCGTAGCAGATGAGTAGATGTAGAGCAACTTTGAGTTGTAACGCACCTGGTGATTTCGCCATCTTGTCCTCAAGCGTCATAGCGGCAAAACTCGGTTTCCCGACCAACTGTGCCAGTTCCGCCCTTTTCCTCAACAGTTCTTCCAGAACCTGGATGTGTTCAACTGGACTCGAATTCGACGCGATGTAGACGCGTCTTCGAGCTTCTTCGGCGGGCGCAGACCGCATAATCATCTGCGCCTGCAGAGAGCCAGGGTAGACGAGTAAATCGCGCTGAGTGAAGCGCGCCTGCAGTTGCAGCCGCACTCCCATGCCCTGGTCCTTGAGCCCCGCCAACTCGGCTGGTTTAATCGATGCCGGGGGGCCAGGGGTGGATGTGCCCTGCAGAAACTGCCGCCCCAGAACCAGAATATCGGAAGAGAGGTCCACGAATCTGTTACGTTTGTCCGGCGGCAGATGGATGGCAGAGTTCTCAAAGTCGCGTGAAAAAATGAGTGCAGTGGCTAGTGCCTCCCTCGATAACGTCTTCCTAATCTCTGAGTCATTAAGCACTGTTTTCAAAACCTAGAAGAACGAGCTGTTATAGCCCACGCATGCGACGGACGAAACACACACACACACCTCGTACAACCCAGTGTGCGTATTCAGCACATTCATAAAATTACACAACTTCTCATGTGCGAAGTTGGCCGCCTCCACCCACAGCTGTTCCGGGTGCGCATTCTGCACCAGCTCCGCCAAGTCGATCACACCACACAGCAGGTCGCTCAGGCGGTCCAGGTTCTTGACGACTAGCATCAACTCCTCGCGGGACCTGTGCGCGTCGACTATCCGGTCCGTGAGTATCTGCGCCCGGATGAGCGTCGCATCCGTGAGCTCGATGAGCGCCTCGGGTCGGGTCAGGGATTTGTGTCCGAACAACCCGGTCGGCGACAAGGAACCTGCGATGGAGCCGAATTTGGACTTGGGCCGGTCGAATATCGTCGCTAGCGCCTTGTCGTCGACCGACGCTGGGATTGTGTGTGTGTGCGCTTCTCGTCGCCCTGGTCGCTGGGGTCTGGTTGGCTGATCCGTGCGCGCCAGCAGACATCCACGAAATCGAAAAACACGTCGGAGGCTCTGGCTGGACACCGCATTTCGCCGCAGCATCAGTCGTTGGTTGGAGTGGCGGAGGCTGGGAATACGGGGGGCACGAGTTTGATCTTCCCGTCCTGTCCTCCGAGACCCGACTGACGCGATCGGGAGCAAGGCGAGACCATGGCTGACGTGATTTGGGCGCCAATCAACGAACTCCCATTGGCCAAGTGCAAAAATCAAAAATCAAAAATCAAAAACCCAAAAGGTGCTTTATCCGGAGCAAAGGCTCGTTCAAACTATGGTACAGTACATACATGGCGTTGCGAGAGAGATATGCTGGTATCTAGATAATGTGTGGTAGAAAATAGCTATGCCGCTGCATCCATCGGGGAACCTGGATCCTCTGCGTGGTCGACACCGTTCGGTTTTCCGTTCGTGACCGGCGTCGAAGTATCGATGTCCATAGATTCGGCTTGGGACTCGGCATCGATAGTCTCGTCGGCGCCGCCGCCGCCGCCACCGTTTTCGAAAGGCTCCGGATCAGAGGCACCTTCGACAGCGTACACCCAAAACTTGGACTTGCGCTTGCCAGCCACTTGTTCCATGGCAACTTCGTTCGGCCGGAGAGCTGCTGCGCCTGAGGGCTGGAATTTAGGAGCATGCGAGCTTGACTCGGCCCCGGAGGAGCTCATCGTGCTGTCCTCAGTCCTTGCCCGCTTCTTGGGAGGCTCTAGATCTAGCTGCGTGTCGGGGGCTGCTCCTAATCGCAAGGATCGACGTTCTCCCCGCCACTGAGGCTCAGTCGCTGCCTGTCGCTGGTTGTTTGCATTGACGACTGCAGTTCGTGTCGATCTCCGGGTTCCTGCTCTGCGACTCGGTCGGTCATCGTCGTCATCAAATTCCTCAAATTCGTCGTCCATTTCCGGCGTGTCTTGGTAGTTGAAATCCCCATCGTCCTATTCGTTCGTCAGACTCCATCCAAGATGAAAGGGATCACAGGCTTGCCTCATCATCAAAGTCAGCGTTATTATACACGTAATCAGGTTTCCGTGCTTGTCGCCGCGTCCTGGTGGTACGAACTTCCACCTGCGCAGCTCGGGCGATGGCGGCGCGTCGCTGTTCAATTTTCTTTCGTGCTTTCTCCACGCGCTGTCAAGTCCGTGTCAGAGCTGCTTCTCGAATCGAGAACTTCCATCTGTGAATCCGGAAACAATCCGAAGGAACTCACGGCCAATTCGATGTCAATAGCATCAATCCGCTCTTCCAAACTTGAAACCAGAGAGATATGGGATAATTCCATCTTTGAGCGCCTTTCGCCTTTCTTCAATTGGGTAGTAGGAAGGTCCTTCTTCAAATTCTCGATTACTTCGAGATATTCTTCCCGGGTTGACGCCACAGTCTGAAATGTCGCTGTGATTTTCCACGGATTGGTCGACACATAGAGTCGTGGTGAATCTGTTGGCCATAGTATAAGTTATTGCAATGACAGAAAAGACGTGCTGATCGGGATAGAAGGAGACGTTTGAGGACGCTTGGAGATCATCCTCGCCCAAATATGGGCAAATACCGAGCAGCATGGTAGGAAGAGAGCCACGGACCATCAACAACCCAATAACGTTTTCTCTGAACGTCCTGGCCAATGGGGACGTGTTGGAGTTCTGCCTGGGTCGCAGCCTCACTAGAGTCGGTTTGACCAGTAGCCGTGTCCTTTTTCCGATGTGACACGCCCCAAGCGCGATCAATCGTGTTCTTTATGTCGGAGTTATGCGTCAGTTGCAGTTCCACCAATTGTCGCAGTATTTTGAGCTAGTTGACGCGCAGAAAGACAAAATAAGCGCCATGGGGCGTCCGTCACAGAACACTCCACAAACCTTGAAATCCCAGTCCGCCGAGAAAAAACCACCGTCCAGATCTTCAAATGGGTCCTTATTTAACTTGAGATAGTCGTCCCAGAAGATCGTGCGCTCGTTGCTCTTCAGATAGTCGCCGAGGACAGAAGCTACGGTAGTCGATATCTGATCGATACTGTCCCACCGACAACGTGCATTAGAGACCTACAGTGGGCCCGAGTAATATCCAAACGATTCACCTCAAGTTACGCGTCTGAGGCTTCAGATTGAGAATGAATCGCGCAAGGAGTTCGGTAAGGATGGTATTGGGTTCGCGCGACAAAAGAGCCTCCTCGAGGCTATTCCCGTCATTTCATGAGCCTAGAGTTCAGATTCAGGTAGTTGGGTGGACACACTCCATCGGCGTCTCGAGCCCTTCGACCTTGGCCCGGAGGTTCGTGAATTTGCAGATGAAGGAGTAAATGAACATAGATTCCCAGCGGTCACTTGGATGAGCGGCATCTGATGGCGGGCATACATGGCCCCGACGGTCTGCAGAGCCAGAAGCTGGTCCGGACATCTTGGATTTCGTAGACACGACAGAGAGCAAGGAGTGTGTAAAGGAGAAGTCCGGAAACAATTACGCAACAGAGACAAACATGCTTTCCCCACAGACTCAGATTAGGCATTCTCAGATGCATTGTCATGCACGCATGTAGCTCCGATAGAAGTTCCTAGGGACTACATGCACAATGTCCACTCTCTGGGAAAGACTCTGGGTTCTATCGGCGATGTTTATGAATACAGGCAAACAAGAGATATACAACAACCACTCGACACAGCGCATAGGCTCGTCTTATCCCGGCCCAACCTGGATGGTATTGAGCACAAGGTAATTGGGTTGCAGGTTAGAGACGTACCTTGGGAATGTCGTGGTGCTCGCTGAGAGACTCAAGATGTGCGTTCAACTCGCTCACGCGCTCCTTGTGCGTCTTGTGTGCGACCTTCGCGATACGGCGTTCGAGCTATTCATCCCGAGTCAACATGTTGGACAGACAGTAGTAGCCAGGCGCGCGCACTCGACGTTTTTGTACTTCTTCGAAGCGTCGTTCAGCGTCGGTCTTCTTGGTTTCGGAGTTTCGCACGGCTGGAGTAGAGCTGCCGCTTCCCGGATTGCTTCTGGAGGGGTTCGCAGCCTGCTCGATCAAGTCGCTGACCGCGCCGCTTTCGATCTCTGTCGCCTTGCTTTTGGACTTTTTCTTCTTCCTGGAGTATGTCAGAGGAGTGGAAAAGGATCGAGGGCAAAGTTTACTTCTTAACAATTCCGCCCTCAGCAACCCCCTTGAGTTTAAGGGAGCCACTGGGGCGAAAGTCGTAGTCGCTCATGAGTGTGAGAAACCGACGGCCCAGAATCAATGATCAGATGTGACACTGCGCCTGAATTGTGACAGAGACGTTCTCGGACACCGAAGGTCTTCACAAACTTGCTCCTCTCTGCTGTCGCCTCGTGGTCGCATCCTTGTCCACCACAATGGCCGTCCTCGCCTCGCCTCTCCTTTTTATTACATCCGTTCCTCCAGTGACGCGTGCTTTTACAGCCGGAACGATTGTTTGCTCAATCTTCTATGCATGGTTACGCTGGAACGGTGTAGAGTCCGCCCCATATCTCAACGTCGTCCCTGGCTCTAGCCTCTTTTATCCGTGGACTTTTGTCACATCTGCTCTGATTGAAACCAGCATTTTCGAGGTATACCCTTTCATATTTGACGCGCGCTAACAAGTCTGCTGACTGTCACTTGCCCAGCTCGTGGCCAGCCTCATTTTTGTCCCAGCCTCGCTTCGATACTTGGAACGCCTTTGGGGCAGTATCGAAACCCTCAAATTTATCGTCGTGTCGGTCGGATTGTCGAACGTGATAGCCTTCGGGTTGAACTGGATAGAGTTCATTGTTTTACGAGATGCAGACCTGTTTTTGTGCGTACATGTCGTTTTTCATTTCTTAATAGACTCTGAAGATGCCCCAGGTATGGAATGGAATATCATGGACAAATGGCTCTGCAAACAGCCATCCTGGTGGCATTTACGCAACTCATTCCTGAGCATCAAGTACAGATTATGGGTATCTTTAAGGCCAGAGTCAAAGTGCGCTCGTCTTATTCTCTCCAGCTGAGCTTTTGACATATCTCCCATAGAGTATACCAATGGCATACTTGACCCTGTCGACTGTGTTGTGTCTGGTTGGCTTCCAGTGCCCATGGATTGTGATCCAGTTCGGCTGGTTTGTCGGCTGGATCTATCTCCGTTTCTACAAGAAGAATACCAGCGATACTGTTGGAGGCACGGATACATACGGTGATCGAAGCGAAACCTTCTCACTTGTATCTTGGTTCCCTCCTTTCGCCCAGTACGTCGATGCGAGGAACGAAGAACATCCGCTCATGAGCCCTCTAGCTACCCCATCTCGATCCTCGGGAACACTGTGTATATGCTGGCCACCCGATTCCATCTCATTCCAACATCTGGAGCAGACCTCGAGAGTGGGGCTTACAACCAGGCTCCCGGCAGCGCTCGCGCAGAGGCTGAAAGAAGACGGTGAAAACAGTGTTTAGCTCTATCTGGACTTGACTGATTGTGTATTCAGAGCCATGGCTCTCAAGGCTTTGGACCAGCGTATGGCAAATAACGCTTCGCCGGCACCGACGGGTTCGACGAATGGGGCTGCATCGTCCCAGATTCCGAGGGCGCCTCCCGTCGCGCCTTCGCGGTCGGATGGCACCGCTGCGAATGCTTCCCCGCCTGTCGTCCACGAGCGTTCCAAGAGTGTCAACGAGCTAGATATCGGGGACACCCCGTCGCGTTCGGACTCGTGAGGAAGATTCGGGCGCCATGTATGAACTTTAAAAGCTCTCGTTACCGTACCATTAGCATTGTTTCATGTCCTAATTTCACGAATGTACGACAAACGCTGTCAATCATACTAATCATCAGGGCCATGCTGCGGCTGTGCCCGACCACTTGTCTTCCCCCCACTACCTACTTGTCGGATCGACCACTTACGACTCAAGCACGATGATCAAAGTGAAATAAGCGTGCCCACCAGCTAGCGGACGAGTCTGATCGATGTTTTGTCTAGATTTGGAGCATGAAGAAGAATGAGGATGCAGCGGCGAAGAAGAAACCCAAGACCAGCGCCGCTCAGATTCGCGTACAGAAAGGTGCGCGAACTTCTAGAATCTCGAAACGGAGCTTATTCCGGTTGCAAGACTTGACTGAACTCGACCTTCCTTCGACGATGAAGACGCATTTCCCTGATCCCGCTGATCTCCTCAACTTCACCCTCACCATCACACCAGATGAGGGTGCGGTCCCCTTCATAGACACTTGCTCCCTCACTCATGAAGAATACTTCACAGGCATGTACCAGGGCGGTGCCTTTGTGTTCTCCTTCGCAATCAACACGAACTACCCACACGACCCTCCAAAGGTCAAGTGCACACAAACGGTCCGAGTCATCCTCCATCCTCTGTTGACTCGGCTTACCAATGGTCTCATCATGGCAGATTTACCACCCTAACGTCGACTTGGAGGGAAACGTCTGCCTAAACATCTTACGAGAGGACTGGAAGCCTGTGCTCAATCTGAACTCTGTCATGGTCGGGCTCCAGTACTTGTTCCTAGAGCCGAACGCGGATGACCCATTGAATAAAGGTGCGTGATCTGGTCTTTACAGAACAAGACCAGTTTGCTGACTCATCTCTCCAGAGGCCGCGATTGAGATGAGTAAGAACCGGGACCAGTTCTTAGCGAATGTGAAGGCTTCCATGCGTGGGCATAACCTGAAGGGCGTGCAATACGCCCACGTCCTTGTACGATGAATCTTTCTCTGTGTTTATCCTGTTCTATCATCTGTACTCCGTTCTCTGCACTGCACACCTATCCCATAATCATCGTCCCCGTAATGCTAATTACATCTGGCGGCGTAGAATTACACAGTAGACTATCGTTTTCTCATTGCTGTGGAACAAATGCATGCTTCATCAACTCATGTTCTCAATTGCTTTCAGCTGCCGCGGTAGGTGGTGTACGAGTACGGGCTGATCAAGAGCGGAATGTGGTAATGCTGCTCTGGAGTCTCGACCTCGAAGGTGATCTGGATCGTTGGTGAAATCATGGACAGCGGGAGAACATGGATCTCGAGTACCTCGACGAAGGGATAGAAACACTTCCTTCCGGTCCCCGCAAAGTAATCCTTGAGACAGGTGGTGTAGGATGATGATGCACATCTCCGCGAATCATACCTTGGTCTCGAAAACTATCTTGTAAATGCCCGCAGACAGTGTTTGAACATCACGCGCCGGGAGGAGATCGATGCATCGGCCGTCAGAATTGGTTTGCCTGTCGGTGTCCTCAGCCTCGAGATTCAAAGCGGGGGAGCCACTTACCCCGAACCTAAGGATACCATCCCGCTTGTCGCGCCGGTCATAGCCTCAGCCGCGGCGCCGTAGAACATCAGACGAACTCGAACACCTTCAGCAGGTTTTCCGAGAGATGAGTCCAAAACTATCCGTTAATGAGATGCTGAACTCAGTTATTAATTAGCTGAGGGCAGTACCATGGCAAGTAATCGGGGACTTGGACATGGTATGGTCGTTTGCGAAGAGCGGTCGTAATCTCCCCTTATCGATAATACTTGACGTGTGTCAATCAGCGACGCTCGTGATGGCCCTTCCAAAAAGTTTTTGAGCTCGGACTCCCAGCTTCATCATGAACGTTCCGCCGTTTGCAAAGCACCTGGCGGCAAACGGTGCGCTCTCAGCACCAATCACGCCCATTGCTTTACATCTGATTGCTAGGAAGACAAGAAAACGCGCGACAAATCAATAAAAGCATTAGCCGCCTTTCTCTCGCATGAATCCCAAGAGCCCATCCCGAAGCTGGAGATGGATAAATTGTGGAAGGGGATCTTCTATTGTGCGCCCTTCCTCGGTATCTCGCTGCCTCCCTTGTCTGATAGGACTAGGCTTCTGGATGTCGGACAAGCCGCTGGTCCAGCAGGCCCTAGCCTCCGAGATGGCTGATCTGTTGTTAACGATACCCTCAACGCCACGGGCACTGGAATTTCTGCAAGGCTTCTGGTCTACTACTGTCCGGGAATGGAGTGGAATCGACAGACTGCGGTGCGTTTGTTCATCGAAGAGGTCATTGGTGGCTTTTGCTCATAGTCAGTGCAGAATCGACAAATACTACATGCTGGTCCGGAGATTCATCAACGCCACTTTCAGGCTGTTGATTCGCTCGGATTGGGACAAGAGCGCCTGTGACACTTACGTCAATATCTTGACCTCCGCCGGTGGTCCGTTATGGTGCGTTTGCTTGACACAAAAGAAGTTGTATCACAGCTGACCACGAAATATCCAACAGTTCGACTGACAACCGCGTGCCAACAAGTCTTGCGTATCACATCTGCGACGTATATCTGGAGGAGCTGGAGAAAGCGCTGGCAAGCTCAAGAGATACCGATTCAGACTCTACCCCGGCTCCAGCACCCTTGTGCACAGTGCTCTCCCCATTCCTCCATCTCGCAGCCCGCACTCTGACAAAAACGACGTATGCCCGCGTCGAAGCGGAAGTCTTCAAGCCTCTGTTCTCCTCCCTAGTTCCCTCTTCTGTCGCTGAGGATCCGCACCCGGCGAAACGCATTCGGCTCGATCCACAGGCGTGGGACTCGGGCTATCCAACCATAATCTCGAATTCGTGCTTCGACGATCCTTCTACAGGCGTCGCAGAGCCTCTGGTGGTGCGCAAACGGCTGCTGCAACGACTGTTCGAGGTGGCTGGGGAACCGGAGACCAGAGACGCGAGTCGGCGCAGACTGTACGCTTTCTATCAAGCGAACGTAGACGAGGATGATCTCGAAGAAGGTTGATAATATATTCATTGTATCTCTCTCTCCCTGATCCGAGAATATTCGTGTCTACATCGTGTGATTCATGGGAACGCATACATATATCGTCGGCACATGGTGCGATGGATCGCTCAGGTCAATCTGGAGCAGTAGTCGGGGTTGCCAACCGGGTTGAGTGCCCAGTTGGGGAAAGCAACCGTCTTTCCGCCAGCTTTGAGAGTTTTGTCAGTGTCTAGTTTCCTGGTCATCGGAGAAAAAACCAACCTCCGCCGACAGCGAAAGAGTACACGAAAGTCATGACCTCAGTTCCACCGTCCAAAGCCGCGGACATCCTGCCACAAGATGAGCTGCGAACGTGAAACATCGCACAGCGAAACTCACAAAAAGTTGTACTTGCGGAAGAACCCAGGATGACGGCGGCGAAGCTTTGATCCAAAATCAGCCACTGGCACGATCTGCAGATGCGCAAAGCTCACGTAGTACTGAGAGAACATGCAAAGCAAGAACGTCGTGAAGACAGAAGAGTTGATACCGCCTGTTCAGAGTTCACTGCGGGGCCGAGACGATCACAACCAGGGACACGCACCAGAAAGATACCCGATTTCGGAGCAAATCATAGGTGTGATAACGCTGTCGAAGTGGGCTTTCGGGAAGTATTTGTGCAGGAAGTAGAATGGGATCGGAATCACAAGGCCGATGATGATGCTCAGAGGAATAATCTGGACAAGTTGAGCTTTGAGTCAGGGCTGGCGGCTGGGTGGGTGCTCACTCCGTATGTTCCAGAAGGCGAGTATAGCTGCTTTCCCAGGGACCAGGACACGGCATCGCTCTGCGCATGGTTCAGAGGGACCAACGAGAAACGAGAGCGAAGAGGCTGACGTTGAATGATTGGACGCCGGCACCGCTCCAGGTGTTGGTACCTTGCACAGAGGTCAAGATGTCCCTGTGCGAGGAGATGATCGACTTCATGATGATGTAGTTGATCATAGCCCCGATGACGGCTCCCAAAGACTGCATGGTGAACGTGCTGCCGCGCGTCAGGACACAGACATTTGTATGAGTTGAAAGCAAAAGACTCACACTCTGGGGGGAAGCTTGATGTACTGGCCCATCTTCAAATCTCTCGTCATCGAACGACCTTGCTCAGTCGAATTGAAACTGGGTAAGTGGTCAGCTTCAACAGCAAGACCGGAGCCATAGTCTTCTTACGCGTAGAGAGTGAAGTACATGCTGTAGGGATCTCAGTCTCCATGCCAAACGGAACGAGAGAACGCACTTGGCCTGGGGCTTTCCCGGGAAGAACCCAGCGGCAAGCATCTGCGCGAGTCGTCAGTGGCCAAAACGAGATGTTTACTCGAGCAAGCCTACACGGGCCACGTCCTCTGTTCCTGGCACATAGCTGTGGAATACAAACAGGCTAAGGAGAGGCAAGCAATCTGTGGGGAAGGGTACGAACCACAGAATAGCGTAGAGCGTTGAGATGATGGGCAGGAAAAGTGCCGCAAATCCGACCGCAATGAAGAATCCCCACCAAGGGAGCTGGGAGTGCTGCATGCCTTGTGAGAGGACCCACAGATAACGGTCTACTCGTAGCACTCACAGCAGTGTAGTTCGTAGCGAGTCCGATCGCCAGCGAAGCAATGAAAATAGCAGCATACCACCTGCGCTCAGTCAGCCCCAAGCCCTGCATCTTCAGGCCGAAGAGACTCACCAGAAGGGAACTTCTTTGTAGACCTTCATCTTCTGGTAGTGCGGGTCGTCGCAACCATCGGACCGCGAGGACTTGATCGCGGCCCAAATCTGCTTGCCGTTCCACAAGGCCATGTGCGTGATCGTAGCACCGAAGGAAAGCGAGCCTCCAACTTTGGCAATAGCGTACGAGGTCGCCATCCACGGTAGGCCCTGGACCGCGAGCTTCTCGCTGTTAATCGTGTAATCGTCGTTGAGGATAAGCGTCTGGTTGTATGGGGTTCCATCTTCATAGAACAGAAGCTGGGGTGTTATCCTTAGAGAAATATTCCACTCCCGAAATGAAACCAATACAAACCTGAGACAGGAAGGGGAAGCTCTGGGCCTTCCAGGCTACATCGAGTGATAAGCGGGGCGGAGGATGTGGGCCAGGCTACTTACAGTTGGTCTCATAGGCACCGATGAAGGACAGACTGCAAATGGATCAGATGAGAATTTGAGAAATTACCCACTCGAACTCACATGCAAATGAGCACACCGGCGAAGAGGGAGAGCTGCGTGGACAGAGGCTGGAACAAAGCACCGTACGCTGAGCCACCAGATCCCACGTAGTTCCAGTCGAGACAGATGGAGAAGAGCCCGAGACCTTCGTTACCGGCAGCTCCACCGAAGATGCGAGTGACCCAAGCGCTGTTTTGACGAGCAAGACAGACGATGGAGATACCGGTCAGCGTCGGAGCGATGTACTCTAGATGTGAAAGTTTGTATCCAACAGAAGTACAGTAGAGCTTTCGGGAATGACGAACCAGGGAACCATTCCCAAACGACTGAAGCAAGTTAGCGGAAAGGATACAAGATTGACGAGCGGAACTTACACTGCGATCACGGATCAATATCCGTCAACGAGCAAAGTGCAAAGGAAAGACTCACAATTCCAACCTATCAGGTATTCCCTAGCTCAGCCTCGAAGTTGAGAGTGCGATGAAAGCGCGCTTACGAATAAAACCCAGAAAAACTTGATTCTTTTCTTCTGCAGGATGTTGTCCTGGCTACGGAACAGCACATCGAACATCTGCACGGTAGGAACGACGTTGGGGAAAACGCAATACGTCGGATAGACGAGGAAAGAGCTGTATTTGCGAATGAGACCCAGTCTCGAAACCACAGAGCAGACAGCGCACCGCATCATACCTCCGAGCCCATAGCCAAGGAGCTGACTACCGAGCAAGGTGAAAACAGCGATGGCAGGGTTCGGGGTGAAATGGTAGAACAGGTCATCCGCAGCGAAGATGTTGACTAGAAGGAAAAATCAGCCTCAGTCACTGCACTACCCGGGTCCACGTACTTGCGAGAGCACCGTGGGTGGCAGCAGCTGCCATGATGAGAATAGCCGCATTTTCCTTGCTAAGTAGCAGCTGAACATTTGTTTCACTAACCAGTCCGGTAATCAAGCGTACATGTTGAAAGGTCCAGGGTTCATGAAGCGCCAGAAACGATTGTCGGACATCTTCATGAAGTCGTGTCCGGGTCCCGGAATGATCTTTTGAAGGACCCTGTTTATGTTGAGCCAACTGCGGTACGTGAATGCGGTCTAGTACGCACTTGCCCAGCGCGAAACTGGCGACTTGCAGGAACAGCTGACTGACATACACTCCTTGAGGACGGAAAGACTGAGCCAAGTTCAGATGTGCCGCTGAACCAGCCCGCATAACCACTCACGAAGATCTCCCCCAAGACGGCACCGAAAGCAGAGAGACCGATGGCAACGAACCACCTGAGAGTTTTATGAACAACGCGCACGCGCCAGGCGCAACAGAATGCAGACTGACATCCGGAACGTCCACATGGGCAAGGTGGGGTCGTCGTGCAGCGAAATCAGCCGGAGACTCCAATCCAGAGCGGATTCTTTGGTACTGAATCAGCACCGAGTTGCAGGACCAGTGGGACTCGAGCTCACCGATGGGCTTCTCCTTCCCGTTCTCGTCCATGTCGATGGCACGGATGTCTTCGCAGACTTCACCGATATCGATGTTGGCGCTGATGGGCTCATCCTTGCCGTCGAAGGACACCTTCTCGTCGATGATTTCTGACCGGGAGCTTGGCTTGCGAGCGAGCTCGGGAAGGACTGGCGGCGTCTCCATTGGGCGTGTAAACGCGGGGCAAAGGAAGCGGCAGACTCACTTGATGCTTCTGGGCCGTGGTGCTTTTATGTAGCGACGATAAGATAGCTGCGCCGGAAGCGTCGATGAAGTGGGGGGATCAGGCCTCAGGTCCCAAGGATCACATCAAGGAAGCGGGATATACGGGAATCCGCACTTGGCGAATTTGAATGATGATAAGTAAATTGTCGGTCTCCACAGGCATACTTGTAGCGAGCGATGATGTTGCGGGGGCGGCAGGCCGTGCATCAGAGATAACAGACCAGTAGGCGACCCGCAGCCTCTGCGAGCAGACGTAGCCAACTGCGCCGGGGCCGATCCGCGAATCAGCCGACCGTTTGCATTGTTCCTGTAAAACACAACGCTATCGTGAGATTATAGGGTTGGAGAAGATACCCAGCCTGGTGATCCTGATGATACACAAGAGAGAACCATCGTGTGATTATTCAACGGCAGTGACAGTAAATGGAAGTCGAAGCCTATCACATGATCGTGAATGACATACCTCCGCCTCCAAGCTCGTGATCATTGTCAAGACAAGTCGCATGAGCACAGCGGCGCCGACTCTCTGAAGCTCACAGGCCCTCTCTCTACATTCTATCCTTTTTCGTTTATCGATGGTAGCTGCTCTTCCCCTGGACATCTATGTTGCGTTCCTCAGCCACTTGCCTCCGAACCGCACGAACGATGAGAGCATCCGTGTCCTGGCCCAGTTTCTTCGGTGCAGCAAGCTACTCAGGGAGGCGGCACTCGTGGGATCTCTTTGGAAGGCTCACTACCAGACCCGATACCTCTATCCAATCGAGATTGTGGGCTCAGACCCCCAATGGCGAATCTTATACGCCGAACGACGAAGAGCGGATGCTATTGCTCTCGAGATCCTTGACACGATCGCATCGCAACGCCGAAGGCGCCCTGAGCATGTAGCCCACCTCACGGCGATGGGATTCCATATTTGGGACGCGTTGGAGATCGAGACCTTGCAGCCTTTACCCCCGAGCCTGGGTGGAGATGCACGCGCGGAACCCCACATGCTGACGCGTCGATACTGGGCGCGCACGGCTATGAACATTATCACACGACGATATGCTATAGCCCAATGGGGACCACTCACTAACGATGAGCAGTCCCTGACGTTTGTCGATGCCTTCTCCGTTCTCTCTTGCTTCTTCGGGACACCAGCTCGCGAGGTGCACAGGGAAGAGCCGTACCGGCGTCCGAACACGCTAACCATCGCTGCAGATCTCCGACAGGCTGTACTCGCTGAGCAGTTCTTGTCTGCGATACTTGGCCGATGAACGGATCACCGTTGACTCGGCTGCTGCGGATTATCGATTGCCTGTGATATGCGAGCAGATCTGTGTTTTCATGAAGAGACAGGGATTTGGACCAGTAGGACGTGAGTGGCCTGTCCCCTCATCTATCTATTGATATCCTCGTCCTTTAGCACAAAGTTTTCACGACGTTTCCAATCAATTCCCGCACTTATATCTGACCAGCAAGAAACGAACGATCCCCATCGCACTGGTCCATGTCTTCGTGCATATCGCTCACGGTCTGGGAATAGATGCCTCCCCCGTTGGATTCCCCACTCGAGTGCTGGTTCACATTCCCTGTCCTCCGGGACAAGACGACTTCCTGGTAGATGTCTTTGGGGCGGAAGTGAAGACGATTGTGACACTCAGAGACGACATCCCTTTCATGCTTATGCGGCTGGGTATTCCTCCAGATCAGATTGCATCGTACATTATGCCATGCGGGCCTGTTCCGATGTTACTTCGCGCTGCAAGAAACATCCTCTCCTTCTCTGGAACAGAGTTTTTGTCCCCAATAACACAATCAGCAATTGAAGCCGCTGCGTCGATTCATCTTCTTTTCAACAGTGACGAGTTATCGACAGCTCACATGCTCCGGCATATCGACTTGGATCCATTGCACTGTACCACCGTCCTCGCAGATATTTCCATTTTCATGCACCGCGCACCTCGCGGTCTACTGCAGTCCACCTGCGAACAAGTCATCATGCATGAGGACGATCACGCGCAGGTCGTTCACCGGCGTTCCATCGAAACCCCCGTGAGCCATCGTGTCGGCAAAGTATTCACGCACCGATCAAGGCAATATACGGGTGTCATCTTCGGTTGGGATGTAGGCGACGTCGGTGTCCTCTGTCCAGAATCTGATCCTTACACAGGCCACCTGCGCGGCCAGCATCGAATGGCAGAGACAGATGCGTGTGGCAGACCTTGCTCGGGGCCCAGCACAGCCCTTCTATCAAGTTTATTCTTTGGAGGGGGGTCAACGCTGTCAGCACGTATCTTGAGCCGCGTTCTCTCTCTGACTATATCAATATTTAGATGTCGCAGAGGAAAACGTTTCACACGACGTCGATCTGACCTTGGAGCTTGCCTCCACTTTTCTGAGCAATGTCGCGTCCCTTCCTCGCTTCTTTAGCGACGCAATCACTGCTTCACCGAACAACCCAGGTCGCTGGCTCCCAAGCCCGGAGTTGCAGACCGCCTATCCGGACGATGTGTATTAGATACTTGCTCACGTAATACTTGTGTGTGTCTTTGTGACAAACGCGTGACTCCCTTCACAAAAACCATCGCGTCCGAGACGCGTGCCATGTCGACACCGCACGCGCAGAATAAAACAGTTGGCAGACAGTATTATCGCCAACAGTACACGCCGCAAGCCACAACGCAGTCTGATCGTCCCGCACCGCAGACAGTCACAGACGACTATGAACGTCCGTCGCATAGTGTCGCATGAGCTGGAAATGGTTGTAATGACTGCATGTTTCCAGGCTGGTACACGGAGAACGTCCCGAACAACCGAATGGTCCTAGCACTCCGCTCTCAAATCCCATCAGAGATCAATTGGGCCCTGGATCGCATCCTGCGGCTCAGCCGAAATGAGGACTTCTCGCTGAAGAAGATATCGGGCTTGAGGGATGCCTTGTACGAGTGGCCCGAGTGGTATGTGTCCGATGGGCTGCAGACCTCTAACGAGATGCACTCCCTGTTTTCTGTGCCGCCGGAAGTCTCAACCAAACGACGCCATGCCTTGGAATCGTTGGCTGTCTTGCGCAATGCGGCAATGGACCCAGAAAACCGCACTGAACTGTTGGAACACGGACACACCATGCCCCTTGTGTTCAACGGCCTCACGAGGCTGGACCCCGACTACGACGAACACGTCGAATTTCTGTTTCACTTGATGGAGTTGTTCCGTTCGCTCGCCTCGAACTATGCCGTGACGGCGAACTTGGTCCATACGCGCTGGAACCCGGTACCTCCATTGAACTTCATTGCTGAAACGTCCAGGAATCGATCCCTCATTCTTTCGTCCTTGACTACGCTCACGGACATCTTTGACAATCCCCTGAACACATTCCTCCTGTCGTCCGGTTCGCCTGCGCTTGCCACAGCTCTGCGTTATCTGCCGCTATTTGTGGACAAACCGCTAGTCGAAGCATGTCTCGACTACCTGTATGTGCATCTTTCACATCCCGCCATGGCCAAGGCATTTCTCCATCATCCCGAGCTTTCAAACACGGTCAGGATGCTGGTCAACTTCATTTTGAGCGAACAGGTCGAAGAGACCGTCACACTGGAAGTCATGGGGGCTATCCATACTGCGCCGGCTGTAACGATGAAGCCTTATGAGCTCAGCCCACAGGAGATGGCTTCCTTGGTTCCTCAGCCAGAACCTCAGCGGTGTTATGAATGGTATGTTGGCTTTTATTCACTTCGGCCAGTCGTTGATGGGATGGCCAGGATGAAAATCATGTTCTTACCCAAACCCGACGGAGAACTGACTCAAGTCGAATTCTGGAACTTGTACAAGGACACTTTCCTGCCTCAGCAGAGCCCCGTTCCACTACTTGTCGCATCGGAGGTGATCAAGAACGTCAGCATGGTCTTCCCGACCGCTCAAGCGATGGTTCTGAATGTCGACGGGCAACAAAAGTTCGTCGTTCGAGGCGTCGACCGTCGCAAGACGGACCGCTTCCAGTGCATGTGGCGAGAATCCTGCTCGCATCCTGTCTTTGAATCCCCCGGCCTCTTGTTTGATCATTTGATCGAGCACCTCGACGCGATGACAGAGCCGGAGGGCCCTTGTCTTTGGTCCACGTGTCAACAGCCCAGTCTACCCAAAGCAGCACTTCGGTCACATATCCTCACGCACCTTGCTGGTACAGAAACACCTGTGATGCCCCCGTCCCAGAGCGACCAAGTCACGCTGTCTTCGGCTGGATTCCCCCACCCAACACCAGACCCGACGACCCGGCCCGTTCCTCCGCCCCCAAATACCAAGATCGAGTACCAGCAAGCGACCATCGACCCACCCCACACTTCCTTGACCGCGTTGCTCTGCATCAGAATCCTGTTCCGCGTGTCTTTCGTCAGCTCGGAAGAAGCCCCCAGAGCAGACGCAGACCATTTTGGCTTTCCGGGTGTGGTGGATGACGACGCAGACCTACAGTCTGCAGTCGAGATGTCGCCAGACATGGAGCTGAAAGGGGAGGCCCGGGGTAGAAAAGCTTTCTTTGGCGTCTGCAATCTCATGGAGAGAGTCAAGATCAAGCACGAAGTCTTGTCTGGATGGATTCAAGAGATGTTGGAAGATTCCATCGCTGACCCCTGAGTGTCTTCGTTTGACATTGACAGGTGGCTGTTCGATCGGCGTTCACTGCTACAGCATCGGCGCACTTGACTGAGTAGCAATGGACCTGGTAGCGTTGAACAGACTGCTTCTTGTTCATTGAAGCCATCTGCATGAGGTATTTAGTTCTTGCGTGCTGTACTGGGTGCTCTGTTGTAATTACAAGGGAGAGCATCTGTTCGTGTTCATCAAACCTTTCCACTGGTGTACCGCCACCACATAGCTTTGAATTTACCTTTCATCGCGATATGCTTCCCCACTCTCGGAGAGCCTCTGTCCTCCAGTCCCAATTCATCTCGCGTTACAGAACGATTCTTAGCGCAGAACCTATCGAAAACCCAGAGTTCTACGCAGACCTGCTCACTTTCACGGTTGATCGCGAGTTCTTGACGCATGAACTGAGGAACATTCCGATGGAGGCTCTCCTTGGGCCGCTCAAGGTCGGATAACGCGCATCATGAAACTTTTGACTGGGACCTTACGCGACGAATCAGTAGCCCACGTTCAATGCATTGTTCCGTGCCTGCTTGCGCCATGCCAGCGCGGCAGCACCTAGCGACGACTCGAAGAAGCACGCGTTGGAGACGCTGTCTATCCTTTGTCGGTCTCTTTTCGCGAAGAATCCGACGGGGTATGAGGTTATGGAGGTTATGGCCGGAGGCGTCAAGGGCGACGCGGTGTTTACGGTGCGTGCGACGCGTTTCGGAGGATGGGTGAGACGCGAAGACGAGCCGTCTGATAGGAATTCACAACGATTGTCCACGAGTCGCTCTCGAATGAGGATATACCTGTCGAATTCCGACACCAGGTGCTCCAGCTGACTTTGTGCGTGTAATGCAATACGGTATCTGTTCGTTTGCTGAGCTGGAACTTTAGGACTTTCATGTGTGGGATTGGGCAGGTATGATATCCTGCGGACACAACATCCTGCTCTCTGACTGTACGTAGCTAAGTCCTGGCGCTTACTTCTTGAGGCTCGACTTGTTTCCTTCCATTGCCTCTGTATGAATCGTCGACTGTTATGTGCCCTTCTCGTCGCTCAACAAGCTGCAGTTCATCAAGTCTCCGGAAACTGAGATGTACACATTTGAAGCTGTTCTCTTGTTGGTTGGCTACTCGGATGAACTGCTGGATATCTCACACGCCCCGACAGACTGACCCTTCTGGCCAATTTCCACAAAAGCAAGTCCAACCCGTATCTCCAACGGATACATGAGACGGACGACCAGGACTTGATGCGCAAAATCTGCTGGGCTTCCAACTTTGCCTTGGATGCTGTCATCAAGTACGAATGGGGTCTATCTCGATTACAACAGTCTCACCTGTCCCAGAACATACCAGGAAATCTCTGACGACGATCCGGCACAAACGTTCACTGCCGCTTTGGGATCGATGATGTCTATGCTGCGACCCGATCGTGCCCTTTCTACTCCGGAGCCTCCGAGAGAGGTGTTCAAAAACCAGTCAGTGTTGGCCTTTGCTCATAGTGCTTCGGGCTCACACGAATTGGGAGACCCATCGAGGCAGGCGTTGTTCTTTTGCCGCTCTTTGAGCTCACGAGGATCAATCCAACTTTCCCTCTGATCTTGATTGCGCCGCCAGAGACCAAATCCAACTCAGAGTCGTCCCCACCAGCTACGCTCATATCGCTTTCGTCTTACGTGTTGACCCACGCATCTTCGACGTCTTCACCGCGCGCTATCGGATACGCGAATTTGTGTCTCAACATTCTCTTATGTTTGGTGCAAAACAACGGCGTTCTGATCGCCTTTTCACAACCAAGCGATGAGAAAATTAGACTGTGTCGGCAGCGGCCGCCTGTTTTGCCTGTTCCTGGACTAAAACGACCACCGCTGTGCGCCATACTAGACTGCTGCGTCCTCTGGCTGAGGCATAACCTACATAAGCGGTTGGAAGTGCAATCGTATATGTGCGTCATTCAGTTTCGAGCTTGACTGTTGCTGATGGTATCAGAACCTGCATCTGGATTGTCTATAGGGTAGTTTGGTTCGTATTCAAAGCACACATTAGACTGGGTGAGCAGTGACGTCCATAGCGGATTCCAAATCTCACCTTGCAGAGTATCACTGGCACGAACTCTGGACCTCAGTCATTGGGGTACTCGGATTTCTCTCTTCCAAACTGGATAATCTGGCCACAACTGGTGGGATTGAACAGCTTTGTCGAGCAGTGCGTCCACAATCATGTACTCTGCACAGCACTCAATCCATAATAGACCATCCTGCTGCTTGATTTTTGTCTCGCCAAGTGTCAGTTATTCTTGCCGACACCTCAAGCGATCCATCAATTTGTGGTATGTCGGATCATTTAGCTTTGACAATCCGCGTGTATGATCTCTGTGACAGTATGAGCTGGTGCGATCTGCGCCTGTTCTTGAGGCTCAATTGGCTCTGCTCCAAACGTTGACCATTCCTCATGAGGACCGGAGGACCTCTTGGATCACAGAACAACCTGCCGAGATCATCTTAGCTCGGCTTCTTAGCACAGCACAATTCTACCAAACAAAAATAGGGGAGGCGAAGGTCACCTCGGCGAGCAGGGCACTCAAAGTTGTGGCTACTGAGATTGACCGCGATGGACTTCAAGGATCCAGAGATGGACTAGACTCTGAGGTCGAGCCCCCAGGCGAAGTTGCGGAGATATCGTTCTCTAAAATCGCTTGCACGGATATCTTATCTTTGATGCCGTAAACAGAATGTAATCGATCAAAGATCTAACTCGGGTCCATCATAAAAAGTTTTTGTTCCTACTAATTCAGTTGGGAGATTCCCTCATACCGCCGTGCCCAATTCAGGCCGTTTGCGCGCGCGAAGACGTGTATTTACGCGTTTTTCCTTGTTCTGCCCCATTGCTGGTTGAAGGCGCCTCGTTTTTGTTCGCGAACATTCGTCCCTGACGGCGGATAACTTATCTACTCGGTGAATGGCTCGGTGAATCGTGTATATGTACGGAACGGGGGCCCGTTAGCGGTAGCTCCGCGGTTCCTTCCCCAACCTCTACGGTCCACCATCCACATGCCGGGTGTACGCTCAGGCCTGTGGCGCCTCTCGTCGCTTGTCGCAGGGCGTGCACGCTCCTGCCGACTTTTCGCAACGTCGACCAGCCCCCCCTCGATTTTTTCACCGCTCGACACTTTTTCTGCCCGCCACATTGGTCCCGATGCGCACGAGGCGGACAAAATGCTGAGTGCTCTGGGGTACGAGTCGATGGAGGCGTTCGTCGGCGAGACCGTGCCACCTAAAATTCGGATCTCGACCGCCGCCGTCGACGCGATCCCCGCCCTCAGCGAGTCTGAGCTCCATGCGCGTGCCAAGGAGCTCGCAGGCCAGAACAAGCCTTTCAAGAGCTACATTGGAATGGGATACCACTGTGCAGTGGTCCCCCCGGTTATTTTGCGCAATGTGGGTCTTTCCGTCCTTGCCCTCCCTGCATCCTGGCTCACCACGAGGCTAGGTCATGGAGAACCCGCAATGGTACACACCCTACACGCCGTATCAGCCCGAAATCGCTCAAGGTGTGTGGCGCATCGGGTGCCCTCTCATTCCAGCCATTCATATCCTATTCAGGACGTCTCGAGAGCCTGGTGAACTACCAGACAATGATCATGTCTCTCACGGCCATGGACATCGCCAATGCTTCTCTTCTGGACGAGGCTACGGCCGCAGCAGAGGGCATGGTGATGGCATTCGTCTCGGCTTCGCAGAAGAAGAAAACTTTCGTCGTTGATAGAGGGGTCTCTCCTCAGACCATCGCCGTCCTGCGAACTCGTGCCAAGGGTTTTGGAATCAATGTCGTCGTTGGTGATGTCACCGGTGCTGTCGCAGACTCGTCTGCAAACACTGATATCTGCGGTGTTCTCGTCCAGTACCCAGACGTCAACGGTCAGATCAGGGACTTCAGCGGTCTGTCAGACAGTGTGCACGCTCTGGGCGCCATTGTTGTGTGCGCTACCGACCTCTTGGCTCTGACGTCGCTGAAACCTCCCGGTGAATGGGGCGCGGACATCGTTCTGGGCAACTCGGCGCGGTTTGGTGTGCCTGCTGGCTACGGAGGTCCTCATGCCGCCTTCTTCGCCGTCACCGACAAGCTCAAGCGCAAGATGCCTGGACGGCTGATCGGGCGGAGTCGAGACACGACGGGCCAGCCGGCCTACCGTTTGGCGCTTCAGAGTGCGCGTTCCGTGATTGACTTTTGCCCACCGCGGTGCTCACATGTGATTAGCTCGCGAACAGCACATCCGCCGGGAGAAGGCCACTAGCAACATTTGCACCAGTCAGGCGCTGCTGGCGAACATGGCGGCCATGTATGCTGTGTACCACGGGCCTGCCGGATTGAAGGCCATTGCGGACAAGGTCCACGCGTTCACTCAGGTTCTCGCATCGGCTGTCCAGGGCTTCGGCTATAAGATCGTAAACGACACCTTCTTTGACACTCTAACCATCGATGTCTCATCTGTTGCCGGCGAAGCCGAGGCCTTGCACGCTGCTTCCGTTGCTGCCGCCATCAATTTGCGCAATGTCTCAAGCGAGAGCGTTGGTGTCACATTGGATGAAAGCGTGACTCCCGAAGACCTGATTGCACTGATCAATGTCTTCGCATCTGCTGCCAGCAAAGCCTCTGTCGCGCGCTCGAGCCTCGTTGCACCCGACGGCCCCTCGATCCCGCAGCCCTTTGTCCGGACGTCGACTTTCTTGACGAATCCCGTGTTCAACAAGCACCACTCCGAGACGGAGATGCTGCGCTACATCTTCCATCTTGCCTCCAAAGACGTCGGACTCGTTCACTCGATGATCCCTCTCGGAAGTTGCACGATGAAGCTCAACAGCACGTCCAGCATGATTCCGCTGACTTGGCCCGAGTTCAGTCAGGTGCACCCTTTTGCGCCGTATGACCAAGTCAAGGGATACCACACCATCATCAGGGTTAGCCTTCTTGCTTCGTTCACGGACCGTTCATTGATCACTTCGTCCCAGGAACTCGAAGACGATCTCTGCAAGATCACTGGCTTCCATGCAACGTCTCTGCAGCCCAATTCTGGTGCCGCTGGAGAGTATGCTGGGCTGTGTGTGATTCGCGCCTACCACGAGTCGCGAGGAGAGGCTCAGCGTGATATCTGTCTCATCCCGTTGAGTGCTCATGGAACCAATCCTGCGGTCAGTTTTGCTGTTGATCTGAACGATGCACAAGCGCTCATTCGGTTTAGTCGGCGGTGATGGCTGGGCTGAAGGTCGTGCCGGTGAAGGTACTTCCGGACGGAAACCTGGATTTGGTGGACCTCAAGAGTAAAGCGGAGAAGCACAAGGACAATCTGGCAGCTTTCATGGTGAGTGACAGATTCGTGGATGATAAGGAAGACTCACTGAAGCTTTCTACCAGATCACCTACCCGTCTACTTTTGGTGTCTTTGAGACCGGTGTGCAGGATGCGTGCCAGATCATCCACGACAATGGCGGGCAAGTCTACCTTGATGGTGCTAACCTGAACGCTCAAGTCGGTTTGACCAACCCGGCGACCTGCGGCGGCGATGTGTGTCACATGAATCTGCACAAGGTCGATTTGTCTGTTTTGCGCATGATTCCTGTATGCTCACACTGGCACAGACCTTTGCCATTCCCCACGGGGGAGGAGGGCCCGGTGTCGGGCCCATCTGCGTTGCTGAGCATTTGGCACCTTTCCTCCCATCTCATCCAGCTATGCCTGAGTTCAGCGCGCAAGCGATCGACGCGGTCTCCGCTGCGCCGTTCGGCAGCGCATCGATCCTCCTCATCTCCTGGGCTTACATCAAAATGCTCGGCGGGCAAGGCTTGACCGACTCGTCCAAACTCGCTCTGCTCAACGCCAATTACATGGCTAAGCGACTTACTGGCCACTACACCCTGCGGTACAAGAACGAGAACGGCAAAGTCGCTCATGAGTTGTTGATTGATCTCGCGGAGTTTGAGAAGCAGGGTCTGAGGGTTCCTGACTTTGCCAAGCGTTTGCAGGTGAGAATCGAGGCTCGCTGTTGGAGACGCATTGATTAACAGTGTTCCCAGGACTATGGCTTCCACCCCCCGACTTGCTCTTGGCCGATCTCCACGTGCATGCTCATTGAGCCGACAGAATCTGAGACGTTGGAAGAGGTCGACAGGTCAGACCCTTGTCAGTGGTCGTGCCCACATCGCTGATCCGCTTCCAGATTCTGCGATGCCATGATCCAAATCCGCCAGGAAGCCGAAGACATCATCACTGGCAAACAACCCAAAGACAACAACCTGTTGAAGAACGCACCGCATCCGATGTCCATCATCGCGCTTTCCGAGGAAGAATGGAAGCGGCCCTATACACGTGAAGCTGCGGCGTATCCGCTGCACTGGCTGCGCGAAAAGAAGGCATGGCCGACCGTGTCTCGCATCGATGATGCATACGGCGATCTGAACCTCATCGTACGTCGTTGTCTTGTGCGAATGTTTCTGTCGGAGAGCTGATCGTTTGTCCCAGTGCGACTGCCCGTCTGTCGAGGAGCTGGCCTCGTCATGAATAGCGTATATACCCTAGATTTGCGCTCAACCGCAATTGTAACTGTATCCAATAGCATAGCAGGGTTTTCCATCGGGGCTCGCAAGAGGATAAGAATGATAAGTTACATTAGAACATACAATATTTGAGATTTATTATGGGGGTCGCGTCATCGACTCCGGCAACGACGCGTACAGCGGCTGTCGCTGACGCTCGATCGTTTGTAATACCGACTGGCGCTGCTGCTCAGTCGTAGCGGACTTGAGCACGACTGACACTGTCGACGCGTCCGCTTTGACCGGCTGATGACCAGACCCCATCATCTCGCAAATCACATAGAGTGTCTCCGATATGTTCTGGTTCTTGGCCAGACATTCGACGTAGGCGTTCCAGTTATGCAGCGTCAACTCGTACCGGCTCTGCAACAGATCCGCCACGATGGATTGCGCCCGTTCCGCCGAGTCGCAGCTTTCGAGGATGGTGCTGACAGTGATGGAGCCAAAGCTCCGGGTGAGGAACATATGCTGCCACATCCGGTACGCGTCCGCGAATGCACCCAATCGCTGATAGGTGCCCATGATCTCGTTCCAGACAGGCATCCCAGGCCGGATCATCGAATCTAGCACGACCGAGTTGTGCAGCTGCCGTGTCGCGTCCAGGATGTCGGCGCAGAGCTTGGGCGGAACCTCCTTCCCGATATTTTTCTGTCGCCACTCTTTTCTGCGGGCGGAGGCAACCTCGGAGAGCTGGCGGAGAACATTGGTGTATAGCCGGTCGTTCATCCGGAAGCCCGCCTTTTCCATGTCCGAGATGATGATGTAGAAGTATTCCATGGCGTTCTGGTATCCCAGCGTGAAGGAGAAGCGGACGAATGCGGTGAGCACGGCCCAGTATCCCATGTCAGTGAGCTCCGTGTAGTGCTTGCGATACGCCTTGAGCGCTAATTCGAGACTGTCTGCAGAGCACATCTCAAGAATCACTCGAGAGGTCATGATGGACTGGTTGCTAGTCATCTTTCGGCTTTCCATGTCGGATAGGAGCGCCTGCGCAATCGGATAGGCCGTCTTCACGTTCGAACAGTTGGCCAGTCCGTGCATTAGACAGGTGTAGATATCCAGGGTGGGGCCGGGGGAGTTCTCCGGGCCGGCCGAGTCGGAAGAGAAAGCTTCATCCAGTTCAGTGTACAGAGCCAAGGCTGCATCGACATTCGTATCATGTGCGGAATTCCGGCCACCGGAAGTGAGAGCCCGGATGATAGGCCCGACCATAGAAGCCGCCGGCGCGATTCCTGCTGCTCTCGCTTGCTCGTAGATGGCCTGGGCATCACCCACTCGTTTCGTTCGCAAGCAGTTGTTGATCAGAAAGGCGTACTCCGACGCACTCGCACTGATTCCAGACGCCTTCTCTGCGGTGCGTAGATCTTCCACGCTGGTAGACGAGGGTCCCAGGATAGCCAGCAAGGCAAGGCCAGATCGCGGGAGCCCTTGCTTGCATAGAATGTCGATGAGGTTGGCCGCCACCTCGATACCGGAAGACTGGGCAACTGAAAACAAAGTCGTCTGCCACTCCCGCAACTGCTTTTCATCCGCCGAGGGCTCTTGAGGAAATCGCGCAACGTAGTCAGCCCGCACGGCTTCGGCAAACTGCGTCAGACCTTGACTCATGTAGAAATCGGTCATAAGGTCCAAGATGGAGGAGGGACACGCCAGTTTCATGGCTTGCATGTCGCTGAACAAGCCCGTGCAGTGGGCCACAGGCACGTTCTTTTTGTTCTCTCTTGCGTTCTGGATCATGCGACGCGTCAAGATGGCGAACGTCTCTTCTTCTGGCTGAACACCCGCAGCGGGCATCTTATGCATGACGATGTCGCGGAGGTACGCAATCTGGACATGGATCGGGCAGCCCTTCAAGAGTGTGTGGAAGTGTTCCAGGCCTGGGTGGACGTGTGGCGGGAGGTCTGGCATGCTCGCAATCCACGAAACAGCGATTCGGACGTATCCCTGCTTGAGAAAGGCAGAAATGACGGCTGTGTGTAGGTCGGGGGTAATAGGGATGCCGAAATAGAGCGGGAGGTGCGCGAACATGGCTTTCAGGGTGCCGATATCGGCTGGACGGCCAGAGGTGGCTAGCATGTCGAGCAGAGTGATGATCTGATGTCGTGTCAGCGGAGAGGGCGGAGGAGGCGCACTCGGGTCTGCTTTGATTCGTTCCAGCTCTTCGACCAGGGGCAGATAATGTTTGCGGACAAGGTTGGGTTCATCGGGAAACCTGAGTGGTTGGGCGAGGTGGTCTATTTTAGAACTCGTGCGTTCATCGTGAATTACCCGCGCCAAAAGAGCCGGGGGAAGTCGAGGGCGCGGAAATGCTGGGAGACGTGTTGCTCGAACAAGTCCAGTACGAAGGGACATTCATGCGTAAGTCGGACTGTGAACATCTAAGTCCCAGTCAGGAATTCAAGTTGCATAGACAAACCTCCGTGTTTCAGGCGTCAAGCGCCAGTCTGGGCTGCTGAGAAGAGACTGTACCGTGACGAGAACGGTCGCCGAGCAGTTTTCGGAGAGCTATCCCGGCATCACGTGCACGCGTTACTTCTTCTCTCCTCCACCACACCCATCCGTTCTTTCTACTCTACAATGTCCGACAAGGTCCGCGAATTCGTCGAAATCCCTCAGCAGTTTGTGCGCGAGGGCTCCCAGGTTTGCACTTGACGGCTGCACGTCTACGGCCAAGATGACGATTGATTCAGTTTATGACACGTTGCACAAAACCCTCCGAGAAGGGTGCGTGCACGTCCCCCCTCCGTATCCATTCTTCCTCACTCACTGGACTCTAGAGTACACTCAAATCTGCTGGGCTGTCGGTGTCGGTTTTGCTGTCATGGGATTCATTGGTTACTTCGTGAAGCTTATTCACATCCCCATGTGCGTCCCTATCGTTAGTGTGGCCTATGCTACCTTACTCACATTTCACAGCAACAACATCCTTGTGTACGTTTGCTTTCATCCGCCTGTGTCTGGTCCACACCAATCTTACCTTGCCGACTAGTGGAGGCGCATAGGTCGATTTTCCACTTGTTCTTTCGCTTGTATTTCAAAACCTCGAGGAATTCTATATCCCTGCCGCGGCCAGACGACCAGTTTGAATCACCGTCCGCGAGATTTGATAATTCATACCGTGCCTACAAGCAGTAGTCCGAATCGCGCAGACGTTTTTGCGACTTCTACGGCAGACTGGAACGGCATTCCGGTCGGTGGCGAACCAAACGGTAACAGCGGTGCCATTTTGTCTGTCGTCAAGTCCAGTGATAGCATGCGGGATCGCACTGGAAGCAATGGCGCGAACAGAGTCTGTGTTCGTGTCAAGTATTCCGATGCTCCGCTCTCGACCATTGGCATCTCGAGTTCGGACTGAAAGATCTTGAGACATTATGAGAGACATTGGGATTGAACACGTACATGTTCCTGGCATTCCTGGGCTTTGGCATCGAGCAGAGAGCACAAGTCGTCCCACTCTGTGCGGTAGAGACTGGCGAGGTAGCGGAGGAAAACGATATCTGAATGTGATTGAGGTTCACGTTTCGAGCTGCCTGCGACCCATTCTGTTATAAAATGCCGGAGAGTCTTCTCAGGCTCTGGGCTGACGTTCCGGGACCGGGTGAGCTCCTGGATGGAGGTGGATAATTTGAGAAGAGCTTCAATCAACGCCGGCGATGGTGCAGGTGACACCACCATGAGAGTAGGCCTATCGGTTTGCTGTGAGATGATTTGCGCCACGATGCGACTTCTCCAGCGATCGATGATTCGATCACGAAGAGCTTCTGCGCGCCGTTGGAAATCTAGTAAACCTTCAGAGCTTAGCAAAGGCCAGAAGGTATATTCTTCACCTTGTACAGTCTGCTCCCCTGCTCGAATTCCTGAAATGAAGATGGAAGAGACAAGTTCGTCCGCAATATGACTCAGGAAGACAAGAGTGTTGACTGAAGTATCTGAGTGCGGTCATTAGTCGTGACTCGATGGCGGAAGGCAGTCTGTTACCATTGTCATCCTCAGAGTTTTCGGCCGAGGAAAGAGTGTCTAAAATCCCCGCACACAGCTCATCTGCGTGAGGTTGATACTCTTCTGTCAGCTTCGAAAGGGTAGCCCGATCGTCAGTGTCGCCGCCGTGCACGATAGCAAAATCTCGTTGGAGCGATCTAGCACAATTTTCCAGGGTTAATAAAACACCGTCCAGGAGAGCCGTTCGTCCAAGCAATTGCTGCCGCAAAGACTGCTGATACTTCTCGAATGATACGTCCGCGTGACCTGCGCCCATAACAGGGAGCGCCGGAGCATTGAATAGGAATTGCGCAGAAGAGGTGACTGATTGCGTAGTTCGGATTGAAGCGGTCGCTGCTTCAAGCTGGGTTTTGAATGCGGTCTGAGCATCCCCAAGTGCCTTGGCCCAGATGTCGAGAACCCGCTGTCGAGCCGTGCGATCGAACATGGACTTCAAAGCCTCTGATTCCGTATCGGCGAGACCAGCAATTGTGATCCACCGCCATATGGAAAGTCGCAAGGACCAAACGTCGGATGCGAGATGCAGTTCCGAAAACCATTTTGAGACCGCGACCTCGAGGCTCCCATTCGATGATTGAAACCACGAATCGAGGGTTTGGGTGAAGTACACAGGATCAATCATGGACGAGGATGACGAGAGATTTACGTGCGGCTTGTACGAGCGTAAAGCAGGGGGGAGGAGTAAGAACTGGGTAGAGGAGGGCAGCGCCACCAACAATGATTCTGTTGTCAGCATGAGTTCTGATGAGAGTGCCTTGTTATCGGGTTGCGTGGAGTCTGAATGGATGTACTCGAGCACGGCAGCAACCATGGACTTGGACGCAGAGTCTTGGAAGACAGCCCTGCATATTCGGATAGTGTCCACAACAGCGACCACGGCAGCTTGCGTGATCTCCTTGACCTCTTTGAGCGAACTCTTCGATGCAACCTTTTCTGGCACATGTCCGTTGGATTTTCCTACGGATGGAGATGTGGCTGTGCCCTCTGCCTTACGCGACAAGAATCCTTGCAGTGTTTTGGAACGTTGGCTGAGGAAGAGGGACAGCGCTTCCGACAGTGGTCGGGAGTCCAACAAATGCAAAGATAGAACCGCGGCACAAATATCCTGCGCTAAATTAGAGAAGATATGCTGTTGAGAAGGACAAGCTTGCCTCCGCAGATCCACTGGCCTCTCGCAATGACAACGTTGCTCGATGTATAATTTGAGAACGGAATGGGAGGATAGCTTCCCATTGACGTTGAACAAGTGGGAATTGCTCCTGCATAACGGTCATTCAAATGCATGCAACGTGGTGTATTCACTGACCAGCACATCAATACCCTGCGATTGCCATGAATCTTCATCCTGATCGTCACTCCGTACCAAAGCATGGTGCACCACAAGCGCTAGAAGAAAGAGCCATGCAGCTGTGAAGTATCTTTTGCGCTCCATAAGCCTCCATAGATATTCGGGCGCGTCCAAAAGTAGTTTCATATGCGCAGCAAGCAATTGAAGGGTGTGCAGATGCCCATCTGTTCTCATTCACATCGGCATAACGAAGCCACGAGAGATGACGCACCACCACCTCTATAGGAGGACATTCGTTGAGGGACTGGAGGCTCGGCTTGAGACATAATAACATCTTTGGCCTCATTCAAAGCCTCGATGACCCGGTGCGAAGAGCTCGCAATGGCGATGATGGATGTGGAGGCGTGTAAAAGGTCTCGGTATCGCTCCCTGGTGCGTCCATGTTGAATAAGATTGTGAAAGACGTGACAGACACGAAGCACGTACCCCACCATCAACCTCAATTCCTCTTGCTTCGCGTCGGCATCGGCTCTGTGAACCGGTCTAGACACGACATTAGACTGCGAGAAGGAGTTAACCTCAGTTTATTTTGTGCGACCTTCACTTCGGCAATCGTGCGCTTGGTGAACAACTCGTCCGGGTCCAGTTCAGAGACATAGGGTATTTTAGACGTGGACGCCGATACTTGTCTCGAGAGCGCGGGAGCCTCTGGAAGATCATCTGTCTGGACGATTTTGACTGTTCCCTGGGATGACGGGGGAGGTGTATATACGGAGAGGGTGGAAGGCCGTCTGGAGAACATGGACGTCGGCGCGCTGTCCGGACTTGACTTACGTAATCAGTTCACTCGTCATGTATCGGAAACGCTGTGCCCCGTTGAAGGTGGCTAGGTGCCCTGTTGAAGGCGGCTAGTAATGCTACAAATAATACTATTATACAGTCTCAGAGCACTCCATCCCGGATCAGAGAGTTGTGAACGAGCGGGCAACGCTGGTCAACTTGACTAACATTTCATCCCACTCGTCGTCTGCGTCAGACAACGCAGTAATCGCACCTCCTGCACCCATCTCCCATATCTCGTCCGGACAGCTTGGATCGTCGAAGTGGAAACAGCTTCGGATAGTGACGGACCAATCTGATCCTCCACCAACACACCAATACCCGAACACTCCGGAGTAGATGTTGCGTTCGGTGTCTTCGAGTCCACGCAAGATCTCCACACTTCGCTTTTTGGGTGCACCGGTCATGCTCCCTGTGTGCGGTGAGTAAAGTGATTCGAAGACGCTCAGAGATTCCACACACCGGGAGGCAGACTGCGCTTCAACGTGTCCCACCCCAATGTCTGCTCCAGCCTTCGACCGCATTGCCGTGGATCCAGCTTGCCCTCGATCACACTGACGAGCTGCCACACAGTTTCGTACTCCTCCACCTTGCAGAACTGTTTCACCTGCACGTCCTCGCCGAGCACAGAGTGCAGATCATGCCGGATCAAATCTACGATCATAAGATTCTCCGCCACTTCCTTGACGCTCCCCGCGAGGGCCGCTTCGGCGACGGCGCGCGTGATACCAGGCGCTTTCCTGACGGTACCCTTGATGGGTCGCATTTGGAAAACGGACCTCGGGGGTCGAGACGTTGAGATGAAGCGCTCCGGGGAGGAAGACAGAAACGTAGTAGGATGGAGTCGGATGTAGGCTGAATAAGGAGCAGGATTCTTGGAGCGCAAGGCTTGATATCGGTTCCATGAGCGAGAACCAGGAGGTCGGCCAGCACTCTGGAAATTGGCGGTCGTTCTTGCAGTCAAACAAAGTTCGTACGAGTCTCCGGATGAAATGCTCTCCTGTGCCTCGAGGATTCGAGATATGTACTGGGCTTTGTTTGGAATCGAAAGAGTAGGCTGTATTTCGGGAAGCTTTGATCGAGGAACAAAGTTTGCTGAATCGGCCTTGAGTAAAGCGGCAGCAGTGTTCGCGACCCAATCTTCGTCATTAGCAAGAAGCGATTGCACAAAAACCTGTCCGGTACCAGCACCCAAGACTACTGAACGCTCCACAAAAACGAGGTTCAGATCAGGATGTCGCCTTGTTCTATTTTGGCGAAGGGGGACTGTCAGTGTGTCGACCCCGATCTCATAGCTGAGAAGGCCAACGAGCCCTCCCCAGAAAGGGATCTCGGGGTGGCCACGGTAGTCTCCCTTGGACATCACGAAGTGTGAAACCCAGCTCCAGATATCCCGATCTTCTAAAGGCTGCTCCGAACAATGGCCGTGTTGTGTGAGTGTTACATAGGCGTCCCCAACAAAGTAGCTCAATTGAGGCGAAGACGGAAGAAGCGAGCCAATGATGGAATGTCGGCCAGGTTGAGCTGCCGAATCGAGCAAGACGAACGGAGATTCGTCGTTTGCTACACCGAAAAGTTCACAGACTTGGCGAGCAGTGAGATTGGGAAGGTCGAGGATACGAGTCGAAACAATCTGAGACTGAGCCGAGGGTGACACGATCACATCTGTGGGAGAGAAAACAGGCCACGGATTTCCAAAAGTAGAGGAAGCTGAGGAGTTCCATGGAAGAGTGCGACGCCCATGTTTGTTCGACCAAGTTTGTGCCAAGCTCCAGAAATTCGACACAACATCCCTCCCTCCTCCTTGAGTGCAGACTGACTCCGGGTGATACTGCACAGCCCAGAATGGTTTGGAAGTGTGGCGCATCGCCATGACGACGAGCCCGTTCTCGCTGCCATCATCTGCCCATGCAAGCTGCTCGACCTCGCCAGCATCCAGCAATGTAACATGCAACGAATGATATCGCACAGCTTCCACGAGCCCAACGCCTTCGAAAAGTTCACGGCCGGTATGGTGGATAAGGGAAGCCTGCCCGTGTTTCACGACGTTCAATCGCTCCAGCCTCGCTCCGTACGCAACACCGAGGCTCTGCAGCCCGAGGCACACACCGAAGATCGGGAGCAGTACATTGGCGGCAAGTCCCCAAAGATCCTTGATAACACCAATGTCCTGGTCGTTTTGCGGAGATCCGGGCCCTGGACCAACCACCACGGCAGAGAATAGCGGGAGAAAGGGCAGTAGTTGTTCTATGGTGAACGCATCGTTCTTGATGATATGCACAGCACAGTCGGGGATAGCCTCTCTGCACAGTGAGACCAAACTTCGCGCGAAACATGAGCATAATGTCTGCTGCTGCAGAGTCGAGACGCACTTGAATGTGAATGAATCATACGAGTCTATGAATAAGATTCGCGGAACAGTTGTCTCGAAAGTCATTTCTAGAAGCAATCCTTGGTAGATTATAAGTGAATAGATAGATTCTCATTCGGCCCGGACTATGTGTCGAGCTGGGGCATGGTCAAGGGAGAGATGACCGATCTACCGATGTGCAGGCTCGGGATTGAAATTTTACGGAGCTTGAGTGTGACGCACTCCGATCGCCGATGTCACAGTGATCGCATTAGAGTTTCAACCACGACATGGCTGCTCAAGTTCATCACGGCTCAAATCGCGCCAAAACCCGAGCGACGCTGGAAAAGAAAGTAGTCTTCAAGAGCGTTTTAGACAGCCCCTTTCGCATACCATGGTATCAACACCTCTCAAGGTCATCCGCCGCGCACTTCCAACCTTCCATTTAGGCCCTCAGTTCCTATGAATGTGCAGAACAGGGCTCTAGCCTGCATCATGTCTTTGTTGGATGGTGTGGCGGACTATCAGGCTTCACGGATGAAACAGAACCGAAAACGTAAACGGGCAGAAAAGCAGAATTCCTCGACTACGAAACCTGCCTCTGATGAACGCTCTGACATTCCCATGAACGACGATCTGGTGGTCCTTCCAGAAGATAGCGTGCTCCCTCCAGAACTTCTCATCCTATCGCACTTGGTTGTCGGCATCAACGAAGTAACCCGCCGTTTGGATGAGCAAATTCGATCCCTACGTCAGACGACTGTAATCCAGGCTGAACCCTCCAATGAACCATCCTCTGAGGCTCTAAAACCCATACGATTGATTCTAGTCTGCCGGGCGGACGTAGATCCCCCCATTCTGATCGACCACATCCCACACGAAGTGGCGGCGTTCAATTCTGCATGCCCTGCGCAGCCCATCAAAGTCGTTCCACTTCCAGCGGGAACAGAGTTCGAGTTGGCGAAAGCGCTACACGTGCGACGAGCTGCCATTGTGGCCCTGGATGTAGGCACATTCTATCTTTCCTGGACGCTCGTTCATGATTTCGTAGTGTGATGCACCTCGTTTAGATGAATTCGCATCGATATTAGAGTCTCTGCCGATAATCACCGCACCTTGGCTGACCTCGACTGCCTCAGCTGCTCCTGCAAGACCAGCCAAACAGCTCATTCCTACTCATGTCAAGCAGCTTCGAACAACTACTCCCAAGGACATGAAAATGGCAAAGCTTGTCAGATCAGAGGGAAGAGATGCTGCTAAGGCTAAGGCAAAGGAAGCCAAATTGAACAAGAAAAAGAAAGAAGTGTTATAATTGTAGGCTACCGTAGTACCGGACATGTACATGGCGCGAAAAGTCACATACGTAACGTGATATTGTGACATGGTGACGCCACGCGTCTTCACTCAATCGATCATGTTCGTCGCCATTGTTGGCACACGTTCATCTGGAAAAAGCACGATCGAGAACTATTTGGTGTTGAGAGGCTTCCAGCGTGTACGGATTCTTGACGACTCCGAAGTTTGTAAGCACTCTGTGTGCAGCCCTGATGCCCTGACGTCAAGAGCAGGATTTGAACTCGGACACAGCTTCGATAACCACTAGCGAGACGTATAACGATCAATTCACCTCGAAACATCTGTCTTTTCTGTCTCTCGGACCTGTGTCACAAGATGTCCAAGACAACGCGAGTCCACGTTGTTTTTCCTCGCCGACAACTTTACTCGATTACGTGACACGCAACTGGAGGACAGATTTCGTAATCGCAGATGTCCGGACAAGGGAGATTCTGGAGTCTTTTGCCTTGAGGCCGTTCTTCTTCCTGCTCTGCGTCGACGCTCCACTCTTCGATCGATTTCAGCGGTTCAACAGCGCCAAGTGAGTTCTTTACGCCGATGTTTCAGTGAGCTGCACACAGATACACAGCCGTTCCCTTGCAGCTCCCATCCTGTGACTCTGGAGGATTTTGTGCGGGATGACGATAATATTGTCTTTGGCACATGCGTGGACTTGGACTCCACGTCCGAGTCGTCCGTCCATGGTTTGAGGGACTTGATCACTAAGCACGTGTCAAATACCTTTCCGAGCGTTCAAACTCTGGAATCCTATCTGGAAGATCTGAATATCCTCGATCCGAGCCATCTTCGACCACAATGGGATCAATATTTCATGGTGCGACTACTGTCTCTATGGAACACCGTTGCCGACGACATGCATAGACGCTGGCATCCTTGGCGTCCCAGCGCTCGAACTGCATGAAACGACGGGTCGGAGCTGTGCTTGTTCGTGAGAACCGTATCCTCGCCACGGGGTCAGTCTCCGTCTCGTGTCTCGATGCCAAGTGTGGGGTGACATTGGGACAGGTATAATGGCACACCCCGAGGAGTCAGAAATTGCAACGAAGGCGGCTGCATCCGATGCAACGGCCTGGAATATGCAGATAACGAATGCGTTTGTCTGCACGCCGAGGAAAATGCGCTGGTTCGTGTTTCGACTTAGCGCCTTAGATGAGATTATCATCTGATCAGTGCACAGCTAGAAGCAGGAAGAGAAAGAGTCGGACATGGATCCGTGCTGTACTGCAACACGTACGATGCTTCCTGAAAAAGCCTATTGGCGGCTGGCAGATCCGTTTATCCAGATGCCCTTGTCTAAAATGCACGATCAAGATTATCCAGACCGGGGTGAGGACCGTCGTCTACAATCTGAGCTACAAAGTGTACGGTTCCTTCGGTGTCCACGCTCAAGCCTACTCATTTTAAATGTGCAGAGACGATGCGTCAGCCAGACTTCTGGCAGAAGCCGGAGTGGAACTGCGCCGCTTTCAGCCTGGGCGGCCCTACGCCTAGCTGAGTGGCCAGTCGGAACCTATTGCTGTGGCCTAGTCCGGAATAGCCCGCATTATTATCTACTGGCACCACAGTCCTCGTTGCTGTTGGACATCTCACATGGTTATCTGTGGAGCTTGCTGCGATCACGGACTCGTCTTCGGAAAGACAAAATAGCCCTTCACCGTAGTGTATGCTGCCCTCTAAGCCTCGTTATGTGTAGATCTACGCGTGTAAACAATACAAGAAACTTTCGCTATGACATCAGTGCAGCGCGGGTGCTTCGAACTTGCGATCACTGAGCGGCGATCGGCTACTGCCAACCGCGCTCTGCAGCCTCTGCTTCATTCACACGACCACTGAACGCGTTCGGACCACAAAAAGATTGCAGCACGCGTTCCGCGAGGCAAATCCCACAGCCTTTATAATCCGCTGCGCTGTGCACTGCCAAGATTGTCAACTCTGACTCAAAACATCATCCATGGCACCCCCGGCCCTCAAATCCATCTCCCCATACCTGCAACGCGCGGAAGAACTTCGAACCAAGGAGCCCATCGTCGCGTATTGGTGTATGCTACATGTCTCCACCGGTCTAGTCAGATTCCTGACTCACGGCTCCAGGCACCTATTATGCAGCTCAGATTGGCATATCGCTCAAGGCGAAGGATACCGCTTCGCGCGACTTTCTGCTCCACCTCCTGGGAGAGCTTGAGAGAATGAAACAGGAGATTGGGCCGACCGACGCTATCGATGTTGAAGCCGCCAGCTCGGCATACGTGGAAAACTTTGCGCTGCGAGTGTTCGCGGCTGCGGATAACGAGGATCGGTCGGGCAATGTCACAAGGTCCATTCTCCGATATCTTTCTTGTATTTCTGATACGATGATAACCTTCTAGGTCCACCGCAAAGAAGTTTTTGGCGGCGGCCCACTTCCTGGAAGTGCTCAAAACATTCCCCAAGTCCGAAGTGTCCGAATCTGCAAGTCTTGTGTTCTCCTTCTTCTCTTCTGCATCGCTTACGTGGCAGGACAGAGCCAAGAAAAAATCCGATATGCGAAATGGAAGGCTGCCGATATCGCAAAAGCATTCCGGGAAGGTCGCAAGCCCACGCCCGGTCCCGCCGATTCGGGCATCGAAGCGGAACTGGCTGAGCTCCAGGCGACCGCTGCTGCGGCCGGTAGATCCAGCCCAGACAGCATCGACACTCTGAAGGAGACGTCCCTGCCACAAATAAGTGAGCCGGCCCCTATCAAACGCACTTCACCCAAACTCGAATCGGCCGATATCACCAACGCGAACCGCCGTTTCTCGTCCCAGAACACGCATCCTGCGTTTGTGGACCCCACCGGACTCCATCCCAGCCCCGATCGCGGGGGAGCCGTGTCGCCCGGTCAGTGGAGCACCGTCGCCACCCCTGGCACGAATGTTGCGACACCAGAAGTCTTCGCAAGGACGGAGAGCGAGTACTCGGGCGACCTGCTCGATCCCCCGCCTGGGAACAAGAAGACTGTCCACTTCACGCCTTCCGTCGACGGAATGTCCTCCCCTTCGGAAGATGCCACATATTCGCCGTACGACGACCCGGCTTCGTTCGGGGGCCCGTCGTCGCTCCACCAACCTCCGATCCCACCAGTGGAGTACCCACGTCCCTCAGCGCCACCGCTGCCGCTGCCGCACGTGCCCGCCCCTGTGATCCCGCCGCCACCGTCTTTCGTGCTTCCTCCCACGATCGTCTCTCCTCCTCCACTACAACTGGAGCTGACGCCGACGTTGGTGGCTAAGGCACAGAAACATTGTCGATTTGCCATCAGTTCTCTCGATTACGAAGACGCGGAGCAGGCTCGACGGGAGCTTCGTGCAGCACTTGCGCTTCTGGGCGGATAGATACATCCTGTTGGCCACATTTTTACGATACATTACTGATATCCGGTACTTCAATCATACTCATCATGTACATGCCAAGTAATCCGCTTCTGCCTGCCGGACTCGTGCTTCCAGCTCTCGGATTCTGTCCTTGACCGACCCGGACGACAATCCCACGACAATGGGCGGCCGTTGTGGGGATGCGACGGAAGGCGAAACCGTGACGGCCGTCGGCGGTGCAGCGAGCGTTGTCCTGAAAGTAGCGATGCCCAGCCCACTGGGAGTTTCATCCTCTTCTTTCGTGTACGGAAGTCCGACAACAGCCGTCGAAGCAGCAGCAGCAGTCGGATAGTACCGGTGGTCCAGAAAACTAGACGTAGCGACCTGGTATCCAGGGATGACCGAGTCTTCGACACCAATCGATGAGCAGTACGTCTGGGAGACGGAAATGGACGCCGAGAAATCTTCCTCGGCGATAGAAACTTGCGTGGACGAGATTCTCGGAGACAGAGGTTGTCGATCTCGCAGCTTCTCTTGAACGCGGGTCGCAAACGCCGACGGGCCCCGATGACGCAGCGAGTGAGAATAGTTCGGGTCCAGGTTTTCCGCCTCTTCCGGGTATTCGTTCTCCATGGAACTCTCTGCTAGCGAATCGAGGTCACAGTTCGATTCCGGATAAACAGTGTCCAACTGAGCTGCGACTATAGCGTGGTGCACAAAGTCCTCGGCATCATCACACATCGTCAGATCTCCGGTCATCTCGTGCATGACAGCATCCGAATCGTCTTCATACGCGGCTTGAGCATCCGAGACAGAGGAAGTAGAGCGAAGACTGGCGAAGCTTGACGGTGGGGGATCAAGAGAGATCATGTTGATGATGCGAATGGGAATGTTCACAGACACATCCGAACCCAATGTCCCGCAGTTGAGTGTAACACGCACAGAATGGCTAACTTGCACCAGTCGCTCCCGTGTATGCGAAACAGCATTCGGCTATGTGAGCTTTAGTTTCACCCGATCGGCGGGAAACGGATGCGAACCCGTACCGGAATAGAGAGAAAGTGATTGAGACGTGATCGCTCTCCAGACGGAATTCCAGACCACCAGCCACCAGAACTTGCGTGTGCCCGAGGGAAACCTTGCGTCATTTGCAAAGTAGATGTAGACATAGGCTTGCGATGGACGATTCCTTGATTGATGGGAAGCTGACTCTTGAAGACGGTCGTACTTTGATACAAGGTCAGGGTCAGACTCTTGATAAGCTTCTTCGTTCGGTTCGCAACCAATATATTGACGGGAACTTGAGTGCCAGCGACAAAGGTCGAGCGGTGGAGACTTGCTGTCAGGTGCACTTCACCAGTCCCGCCCATGAAGACATTCTTTGACGTAGAATCTTGAACTACTTCCTGGTTGGGCGCAAGGACGACTGAGGGATTGAGCCGAGGCCAGACTTCGCAGTCTCGATAGAAATGGGCGATGCTCCTCCGTCCCTGTTCATCTTTCACCTTGAGCGATCTGACCAGGGGAGGGTCAACGCGAGAAGCATCCGCAGCGGGCACTTACATCAGAACAATGTATCGAACCGACGCACCAGAGTTTCCCCGAAAAGGACCCTTCGGTGCCGTTGCCTGAGCTAGCGGGAGACCCATAGTAAACTCAATCCGATGAACCCCTTCTTGCGCCGAGCGGAACCCCTCCGAGTCCGCCTGTGTCGTATAGACCCTGGCCATCGAGGGGGCAGCCGAGCAAAGCGCGACCGAATGCTGATAAAACTCATGATGGTCGTCCCCTTCGCCCGTCTCGAACCCGAGCACCCGTAGCTTCCCGTCCCCGATGAGAACAAGCGGTTCCTTTGCAAGGCGAGGTCTGACCCGGAGCTTGATGACGCCAGTGATATCGCCGCCCTCGACGAAAACGCTGCTGTTCAAGAGCAGATCGACTTCCACTACTCAGACGTGAGAGGACACAGCGGCCGCAGGACACAAGATCATACCTCTCGCTCGAACTTTGGCTTGTTCCAGGAGTGTCGGTTGCTGTGACGCGCGCGGGTGCGAAGGGACAGACGCGCCCGGCCGTAGACGGCAGTTTGCGTTTCCTAGCAGAGACTTCAACTCAGCCGCCCGCCGTGTCGGCGTGGCACCTGAGCTGAGAAGCGTGCCATGCCTTCGAAGAGGCGGCTCAAGTCGCTGGGCCCTTGCTTGCGATGAGACACGCGTGGAATTGACGGCTGTGGACCCAGAGGAGGTGGTGGACATGGGCCACGGGCCTGAGACAGCTGGAGAACGCCGGCGGGTGGCCACAGTCGACGCGCTGTTGAGACTGGATGTGTCTAAAGAGCGTCTCGCGTTGCTAGGCTTCCTTCGAAGGTCTCTTGACATCGCAGTCGCGGGCAAAGTTTAGATTGATGGTAAACTTATGCAACGTAACGTGAATACAGCTAGAAGTATATGATTACGGGGACCAGCATATTCAAGGTGGAAGAGCTGCAGTCGCGGATAAAGGACTTTCAACATAGTGAGGCGGGTCTTCAGCATGCCTCGGGAATACTGGCGGACGTAAATCAGAGGAAGGCGCTGCAGTGTCTGGGCTGCGCAATCCCGCTGAAGCTTGGCCAGCGGTCGAATAAGTTTGGTACGACTGTTGGCGGGAAGACGGGAACTCGATCTTGGGAGCCTGGAGGGCATGGAATTCCGTGACCGACTGGGAGAGTGAGTCGAGCTACAACAGACATCTTGTCAGCGTCCAAGTGACTGCAGGATTATACACAACGGACCTTGTCCATAATGTCCTCAATGGCTTGTTTCTTGCCTCGGAACTGAGTCGCCAACTTTGCAAACTGGTCCTCCCGCGCCTTCTTCATTTCAGCTTCCTCATCCCTTCTGCCGCCGATGCCATCGTCTCCTTCGCCTTCATCCACGACGACGCGAATGATACTAGCCGCCCGCGACCTCGTCTTCCCCTTGCTCTTGGGGTCGTTGGCATGCGCGCCGATGTCCTCCATCTCCAGATGCATGCGGGAGATTCGGTTCTGCAGTTCCAAGACGCGGGACAGGTGGGACCACAGCTCTTCGTTCTTCATGTGCATGTCATTCAGCTTAGCGGGCTCCTCAGGTTGGATGCCGTCATCCCGCGGTATGATGGACCCGAGTAGCGTGCCGTCGAAAGGATCAAACACGGAGTCGTGAGCAGTTTCTGCGGTGGATATACGCAGAACGCCCGCTGCGGACCAGTTGAGCAGTGCAGTCCCCAGAAGCAGTAGAGCAGCACACCATCTGGGGCGTTCTGGGTGTCGAATATCTTGGCAAGGATGTGTTCATGGTGGGACAATTCTGGAAGTTCCTGCATCTGATCCTGCTTGGAATCTCCTTTACCGGAGCTGGATAACATTACTACAAGGAGCCACAAGTCAAGGGAGCAGAGCTTTGATTGACGTGTGGCGATGCATCCCGCCATCACCTTCGGCTAGATAACAGTTACTATCGATAACTAGATAAGATCCAGATATTTTCCGGGGCCGCTCGCCTTCAAAGACATCCGTCTGTAAAGACGGGATGAGAGATGGTTTACATTATGACGGCATTCACTCACTGGGTACGGAATTTCCTGCAGAGTTCAAGAATTTCTTGAGGGTGCTTTTCCCACAGAGCAAGCCTCGCACAAAGGCCTCGGCAACGACGGTTGCTCCCGTCGGGGTGGTGTGAGTGTGATCCATGGGGTAGTATGTGACCACAGTCTTGTTATGTTCAGCAGAGGTCACTCCAAATGCCAACATTCCACTCACGGATTCACCAATCTTGTTGTAAGCTTGGGCGACATAGCTGAAATGATCGACGAAAGTGGTGGAGGTGTTTCCGGCTACCTCCACAGCGTATTGAACGAATCTGAACAAAGTTTCACGGCGCTTCCGTCATCATGGTGCATGGCAAGCGAACCTGGGGCCTGGAGACTCTATGAGCTCGAGCAGTAAGGTATGAAATTGAGCCACTGACCTGGAGTCGCGATCGCGGTGTTGGCAGAGTTCCAGATGTCATCTTAGAAGAGGTCAGATTGTAGCGAATACAGGCATGTGTTAGACATGCATACCAGGAGTCTGGGAACTGATGATCACCGTGACGCCCTTCGCTTGGAATGCCTTCGTTGCATTCTGCATGTAGAAGTTGAAAGTGTGACTGGGGCATTCAGAAATCACCTCGACAGACAAGATAAGCACTCACATCACTTGTGTGCTGCCACTGTGCGCTCGGGTATCAGAGATGTGGCAGTGAGAGCATGTCAGGAGACATGCTTACTCGGATTCGTTGACTACAGCAGTGGCGGTCAGAGAGTCTCCAAACGCATCTTCTCGCCCGTTGTCGGTAGCACCAGACAAGCCGTCGTTGTGTCCGAACTCGATGACAACAAAGTCGCCGGATTTGACCTTACCCAGCAAGGTACTGAAACGGCCCTCGGCTGTGTAACTGCGAGCGCTGCGGCCGGCAATAGCACTGTTGACAACCGGAATGGAGAAGAATTGGCCGGCGTATTGACCCCAGCCATCGGTTACACCACCCCCACCTCCTGGAGCCATAGTCGAATCACCCGCCAAATATAAAGTCTGCGCGTGGACCGCGACAGAAACGGCCAGAGCGGTGAAGATTTGGGAAAACATGGTGGTAGAGCTGACTTTCGATGTGATCTCCTTACTTATATTGTCGCTGTTGCTTCTACTCCAGCTGCGCTTACTTCTCGACGCGCACAGTGATCAAACACGGGAGTTTTGCCGGTCCGTCAGACAACAAGGGATGACTGCAAGAAGCATGTTGATGCGGGCCGCGGCGGAAACAGAAGCACATGACCGCGCCTGTGATCTACCTCCCAAGTCTTAAGCTATCCATCTTTTTATATACAGCCGTCTGTCGGAAATAAATATCCGACGATCCTCCAGTGAAGCATGGACACGTACTTGGAACTGCCTTGCCGGCAGCATTCACGAATCCTTTCAGAGTACTGTTCCCGCACAACAGACCCCGAACAAACGCCTGGGCTACCACGGTCGCTCCAGCAGCACTGGTGTGCAGGTGATCCATCGGGTAGAATGTGGTGACTTGCGTCTGTCCCAACTTGTTATACGCTTGGGCTACATAGGCGTAGTGGTCCACTTCGACAATGCTCGTGTCTTTGGCGATGGTGGTGCAGTACTGCACGAAACGCCCTCCGGCACCAATGCTGGACCCAGTCCAAATATTGTCCGGAGTCTGCGTGGCTGGCTACATGTCAGTTGCTGTAGCTGCCTCCAACCTGAAATCGCACAAGTGATTGGCGTAGCTCCCTTTGCCTTGATCGCGTTGATCTGCGCTTGTTAGTAGTCTGTCTGGTCAATGGAAACACCAGCCCATACCGCATTTTCAATGTAGTAAGCAAAAGAGTGCTATAAACAACTGTTCACCGTGATCTCGAGCGCCAGAAGCAGACTCACGACCACAAGTGTGGTTCCACTAAAGACATGATGAGCCGTTAGACGGATGCAAAAGCGCAACGTGACTCACTTCGCTGTAGTTACCGTCCCCGTGATATTGTATCCGTCTCCAACAGCATCTTGATTCCCATTGTCGGGATGCGCAGTGGCGTCGTTGTGACCAAACTGCGGTGATTGCACCAGTCAGGATCAGACCAAGAAAATCATAACTGAACGATACCCACTTCTATGATCTAAACGAAAACAGGTTTGAATCGCACTGGCGTCCTCTGACCACGGGAAAACTGACCACGTAGTCTCCTGACTTCACTTGTGAGATGAGCGTCGTGAAAAGGCCCTTGTCAGTGTATGACCGAGCACTCGTGCCAGCTACAGCATGATTGACGACCGGCAAGGTCACGTATTGAGGAAATTCCACGCCCCAGCCTGATCTCCGGTTAGCTATCGACGATGCTGCGACCACCCGTAGAAAGCAACGAGCCTTGAGTGCTGCCTCCACCACCTCCCAGTGCCATCGTAGAGTCACCGGCGAGGTGGATGGTCACAGCGGAAGCCAAAGTAGCGAACGCGATGAGTTGTAAGGCGTGCATCGTCGAGGTCAGTTGTCTGTCGGAGAATTGCAATTCTCCATCGCAGAAACTTGGAGCTTTTATGTTGGAGGCGCGACGCGCGAATCTGTTCCCGTGGTCCAGTCCAGTGACATGGTGCTTGGCAGCAGGATGCGAAGCATGGAAGACAGAAATGAGAAAGCAAGCGTTCGCATCATACTCATCAGTATTTGTCAGCCCGAGATTAACGCTATCGATCGGTAAGTATGTGGGTGTGATCAGTCCTCTTCTCCAGACTCCTCTTCTCCCTCTTCCGTGATCTGCAGTGCACCAAATCGACCACCGCCGGGTTTTGAAAGGGGTTGGTCTTCATCCGACTGTTCCTCGGTACTCTCCTCTGGCTCAGTCTGGATCCCACCTTCTGACCCAGTTCCAGCGTCGCTTTCTCGCTCGCTTTCTTCCTCTTGACTCTCTTCGTCGTCTTCACTGTCTTCCTCTTCAGATCCAGAGGGGATCCAAATGCCCGATCCTCCGTCGTTCTGAGGATGGCTGGCACCAGGAGGCCAGAATGCCCAAGGCACTCTCCCCTCGGCTAGCGCACGCAGAACTTTCGGAGGCATTGAGTATCTATCTAGATGGAACCCGTACAGGACAGCGACGTACTGGCATTTCCGGCTCGATGCACATCCGGCCGTCCGCCTAGAGACATAATCGGATGTAGTATGATAGAGAATGTCGCCGACTCACCCTTGGCAGTGACCCATCCTTTGAGATTGGCGTAGGACGTCAGAATGTCCATGGCTGTCCACTGCTTTTCTTTGATCTGACCCGAATTGGGTCGTTCCCCATCTCTCCAGGTCCGGTTGTCAACCACCGACGGCTGTTCAGGCGGTGAAAGTTTGTACGCTTGCTCCAGGGGAATCAATTCCGCCGCATGGAAGATGCAGGCAGGGACAGCTGATACTCGAGAAATGGGCAGAATTCCGGAAAAGACCTTGACGATGGTAAGACTCGGAGGAGATGCAGAAAGTGCTTCGACGTACTTGTGTCTCCATTCTTACAAAATTCGGCATAACGAGTCCCGGACAGTCAACGAGTCTTACGTCGGGAGTCCAGAAGAGCGTTTGAAAGTGTTTCGTCTATCGACATAAGACGAGCATTAAACATAAAGTTCCCACTCACCTTCCCAGGCGTTTTCGACGCTCGTACTTTATGGGCACCGAAGAGGGCGTTCAACAACGAAGACTGGATATGCGATCAATATTCAATGCCGTGAACGAGTATGGAGGCCAATCTCGCACTTTTCCAACGTTAGGCTGACCTATGATCTATCAGGATGCAAGAGACGACTAGTTAACTACCGCGACACACCGATGAGGCCAATAGTAAGGAAATGGGGCTCCTCTTCGTCGGTATCACCGCGAGGGGCAGCCGCGCCTCCAACTTGAGTGCCGACCTGGTCGCCTTCGGCAGACAAGACGCGGTCCCAGTCGATTTCTCGCTTCACAGAAGGTTTCCATGCCTCGAGACGCTCTGGCTTTGCCTTAACCGTCTCTGGGGGATCCAGCATTGCGCTGTGCTCCTGTCTGATGGCATCGACGAGCTGAGCGCGGAAGCTCTGCGGGATGTGTGGTTCATGTTGTCTGCGTCCTTGATGCCTGGCAGAGATCTCCTTCTCAGCATAAGATCGGACCTGTACCACACGCAGTCGAGGATACTGTTCGTTGAAGTATCGGATCCACCCGTTCACTCGTTCAGATCCCGATATATCGACCTTGGTCAAGACCAGGATGACTCGGCGATTCGAGAGGTAGGTGTCTAAGGACGGAGGGTAGTGGAGCAAAGGAGCTCTCGAGTCGATGAGAACGAGTATGATTTGAGAAATCTCGGTCACTCTCCATCTTCCCTCATACATTAAAACGGAGTAGTGATATTGAACAATGACGTACAATTGCCGCCAGACCTCTAAATTCCTCTCAAAGTACGTTGTGGATGGGGGCATTTCAGTAGGTTCTTCGGTGATCTCTGGAATCTCTGTACTGATCAACGTTGAACGTGTGAGCGGCTGACAAGATCATTCCAGACATACTCGACCACAGGTTGTTCTTTGATCTGCGAATCTTGCCATCGCTGCACAAGATCGTCCGTCTGCGCCAGCCACTGTGAAGAAAATTCGATCGTCGGATATCACTCCCCGTACAGATGTTCAATTGTACCTTGCGAAAAAGCCCTTCCTCATTGCGCTCGACTTCTTTCTTGGACATATCAAATCGCCATTTCGGCCGCCGAGGACAACTCAATGTATCCGGGCCAACAGATGATGGGGGGACTGATAAGACGCAGGATTCGACAAGGATCGGGCGGGTCAACGGAAGCTGGGCTGCGAGCGTCTTGGTCTGCTCGAGGAAGTGATCGGGGAGCTTAACGAATGCCGATTGCAGCTTTCTTGAAGACTGAATGGCATCCGATGCAGGTGTGACAGTGGCGCGGCGTTGGGTACGATTGACGGATGGCTGTTTGTCCGGTGCGGGAAGATCTCCTCGTTTGACTGCACGCTTAAGCTTTATGGACGCCTTCTTCGCAGTTTGCGAGGTTGGCCTCCGCCGAGGCATAGCGTTGAAAAGACGTGGTACTTCGCGTGGGAGGGATAGCTGAGGTTATGGACAAAGACGGTACAGCAAGTAGAACAAGGTAAGGAGCAAGGTACAATGGAATGATGCAATCATGGCATCGGTGAAGTCAACGCGATGGACTTCCTATCTTGATTGCAGGCCCGGCGCTTTGCTATTACCTTCATCCGTCCCACGGCAAGCTCAGTGCTCCGTTCTGTGGACCCTTTGAAAGTCCTTCCCAGACTCGGTGGACTCCGGGTTTCTAAGTGAGCGCTCAGAAAGCATCTGACCAAGCTTGGCCCACAATACTTCATGTCCTCCCCTACGACAACGACTACTTCTAGCTCTTCTCCACTGAATGGAACCCCTTCGGCCAAGCGTCATGGTAGGAGGGGACAGTTTGAAATCCGGAATGGTCTACGACATCACTCTTACGACCGAGAGAAGGCGCCATATCCGCTCGCCTATTCGCCGGACACACTGGAGCTGTGGGCCGTCGCCATCCCTTCATGAACTATCATCTAACCTAGTGCTTCAAGGGAGCCTATTGATCTGCGGCTGTTCGACCATTTGAACAACGGATCTTGCACCTTCGTCGACTTCTCAGACGCGAGCATCTGGGATACCTCGGACGGAGGAGCACAGCATCCGGAACGCTCTCTTGATTTGGGGTGTGGTGTGAGTCCGTTCTACGACATGTTGCCTCGTATCTGAATCGTCTCAGACAGGCTCATGGATCATTGATGCGGCCAAGGAGTGGCCAGAGTGCGAGTTCGTCGGTTTCGACCTTGTGGACGTCCAGATACCTCTCCAGCTTTTGTCGTCCGAATACGAATCCATCGCCGAGCGAATCACATGGGTTCATGGCAATTTGTGCGTCCACGTCCACCGGTGTCCGCAGAAACGCACTGCTCACGAGCCTTTTTCGCCAATCAGTCTTACGAATAAGCTTCCATTTGAAGAAGATGAATTCGACCTCATCCATGTCCATGGGATTGCCTTGGGAGTTCCTGAGAGCAAGGTACATTGGACTGTTCTTGTTTAGCTTGTGTTGACCACTTATGCAGTGGGGAAACTTACTTGAGGTATCCTTGACGTTGAGCACCTGGCACTCCGGCTCAAGCCGCCCGTAGGAAATCAATCGCGTATTGCGGCCAGGAGGAGTCATTGAACTAGTAGAAGAAGGTGTGTTTTGTCACTGTTTCATTCCGGCTTTAGTTTCAACGTGAGGTAGACATCATATTTCCCCGTCTTCCAAAATGGTTCACCTCTCCTCTGCGAGCACGACCTCGACGGTCGACATCCGTACACTTGCCGAGCGGTACTCAACGTGGACTATTCCCTCCCTCTGATACCCAAGCCAACCATACTCACGATCATGCTTTGCTCGAATCCTTATTCCGAGCTGTTTTTGAAAGTCGCTTCATCAATCTGAAGCCAACAGGTTCGCAACTTTGTTTCATCGGAGAATCCACGCTTGAATGGGATTGCAGCGATTCTCCCCAGTTACTTTACGACATATTTCCGACATGTCAAGCAAAGCCCGGTCGTCAGCTTTTACATGCCACCCTTGCCACCCTTACAGCCTTTGCCGCCTCAGATCATCACATCCTATGTGGTTGATCCAAATTCGGACACTCTGGACTCGCGAACATCCACTATCTTCCCGAACATGGCTCGGTCGCCATCGGTGTCCTTCTCATCGGTTTCGACAGGCGAGTCTTCTATTGCGGGTTCTGTGTTCACGCGTCCGAGAAGAAAGTCGTCCGTCTCCACGTCAGATTACGGCAGTCCAAACTCGGATTCCCTTCATCCCAGCCAAGCGGAACTACCCAAGCAGCCCTCGTCACCGAAGACCTACACCATGGATGTGGGTCCCCGGCATGCTCCAAAGTCACCAGATCGCAATCCAATTCGGGTTCAGCTCGATCTTCTCAACGAACGCTCACTTGCTATGCACCTGTATAGATCGCATCAGATTGTTCTCGCTTGCCAGGAAGAGATGTGGGAGGAGCTCAAAGATCGGATCTGGAACCGGAAGGATGAGCTGAAGCCGTTCGGCTGGGATGACGACGAGGAGCTGGAAGAGCTGCAGAGTCGCAAGAAGTTTGAGCTTCTCGTCACCCGCTATCGGCAGTGAGCATTTCATCCGTAGAAGCCCAGTCACTCAACTGATCCTGAGATATAGTGACATGCAGACCAGGATTGCCTTATGGTGCTCCCTGACTGGGATCGGATGGCAACTTCCACCAAGGGAGCCCCTATCCAAGGCAGAATTGATCGAAGAGGAGAGAATGAGGGCTGCGATGTTGGAAGCACGGGCATACTCGGACTTTGATGATGATCCGCCCACCTTGTGTCGCTCGTTTCGTGTATTAGTAGGTTGTAAAATGTAAACGAGTAAACCTGTTGGCACGGAATAATCGCCCGAGTTTGGTACTGTTTGCCGGAACCATCACGTCCATCATCACCTTCAATTTTTTCTCCACCAAGGCATGGCCGCGACCGCGTCGCGTTCGCGCCAGCCACACGATGGGCCCATGCCACAAACGCCCGGCACCGCGTCGAAGCAGCAGAAGGTCGCCACGATGAAGAAGGGGAAGGGAAAAGCAAAGGAACAGCCTTCGGCTCCGAAACGGCGGACACAAATCCCGCCCTCGGCCCCGCCTTCCGGCCAGCATTGGACTGGGCCACCCTAAACGATCCTCGGCATGCAACGTGCCTCCGTGTTCACAAGGACGGCAAGTGCGTACACGGGTGCGAGCTAGATTGAATCTAATGATGGCACAAGTTATTTCTTTTCGTTGGTGGGATCGTCCGTCCACATCTATGGTCAGTAACGGGAAAGATCGTTTCGACTTTGAGCATCCCAAGGCCGCCGGTCACGATACATCTTCCGATGCTATGACTTGCGCTGTATTGAATCCTCACAACGCCATTCCCAACTCATTACGGGGTCTTCGG